GCAGCTCGAGTCCCAATCAATGACTAGTCGAGTCCCAGCGAGGGGAGAATCCAAGCGATATTTGGAATCGGATCTAGATTGAATTTGGATGAAACCTTGAAAGACTCAAGTTGAACTCGGAGTCGGAGTCAGGACAGGGTGATTTGAATTTTGGCTTGGAGTAGTGACTCGCCCTTGGAGTCGGAGTCAATCAGATTCAGAGTCAGTGCCTCCTGAGTCCCTGCCTCATGTCCAGGGACTCCGGTGGGAGGTTAAGCCGATGCCTGCCGATAACATCGGCATCGCAAGCCAGGTATCATTCGGACTCACATTGCATTGGAAAATTGATGTGATGTGGATTCTCCGCATCGGTTATGACAATGCGGGTGATGCGATGTGATAAACGCCCAATGCGATGTGATACCGATGCACGCATTGCATCCGTTTCATCGTTGATGATAAATTAAATTCTTCAGGGGAAGCATTCCCAGGGCGGGTGTAAGGCGGGTACCCGGGTACCTGCCTTTTTTTACCACAAATTTTGACACCCGCACCTGTTTTTACCGCAAATGTTGACACCCGCACCTGTTTTTACCGCAAATGTTGACACCTGCACCCGCACCCGGTACCTGTTTCCGGGTACCTGCTTTGGAAAACAGGTACCCGCAAACGGGTACCAGGTAACTGCAAACGGGTACCTGCTGACATCTCTAGGACTCATAAACAATTTTTATATTTTTTGGATGAGGAGGCTGGGCAATATCCAAGTGGACATATGGGAATGTTCTAATTCACATTGGATTTTAAAATGTGGAAAAAATCCTGTTTTTTCAAGTGGAAAAAGGGTGATGGTCTAGAATACAAAACAGAAACACCAATCACCCCTCCTTCAAGTGTCAACTGGCAAGAGTGTATCAGGTAGCAATGACAATCCGGACCATTAAAATTTTTTAAATTAAGTAATAGTATGTTAATAAGAAACATATTATAATCAGTGTAGATAAAATATAGAGTTATAACTAAGAATGAACATTCATGCACAATTAAGGGAAGAGAATGAAAATCAAACAAACACAAATAAATATTGAAGATCATGAGTTATGGATTGGATGACTCAATCCTCAGAATAACTCAAATGTATAAGGTTATCATGTTCATCAACCATCTGAGCTAACAGATGATTGAGCTATGATTACATTGTTTTCTGCATATCCAAAACCTTATAAAGGCTGCATCAATATTGAAGGAAAACCTCTCTGAAGTTGGTGGGTTTCTTCCTTCCCCAGTTTTAAATAATAAGAAAGCTTTACCGTAGAAACTCTCCCTCTGGTTTGAAGAGCATTCACTAATATATTCATTTATAATTAGAAATACCTCTTGAATCAGATTAGAAAACATAACAGTTTAACTTTCATTAACATCTCCCAGACTCCCTCTCTACACTGGTACTACTACAAGTTTTTTTAACTTGAAGTGTTAGCAACGGTGGGCCACTACACTAACCGTAGCGGTTAGTGTAGCGTAACGCAGCGGAATTCCCGTTAGCGTTAAGCGTAGCGTAGCGGAATTCCGCCACGACACCGCTAACGCTACGCGTGTAGGCCGCAAAAAAGGGCCCACTACGCTGTGCTACAGCGCTTTTTAGCGGTTTTTAGCCGCTTTTATTGCTAAAAGCGCTGTAGCGCAGCGTAGCGTAGCGAAACTGCGCTACAAAAGCGCTAACACTACAAAATTTTGGCGCAAAAAAAGCGCCGCTAGGCTACGCTTTTTGAGCCAAAAGCGTAGCGGCCCACCGCTGGTGTTAGCCATTGCTTGTTAGATTTATCATTTATTTGTTCCCAATCCAACCATGTCAAAGATTTGGATGCCTTGGCTTTATAGATTCAGGAAGCTCGAGTTAGTCCTGAGTCTTGAAAGTATACATCTTATCAAGATCCTACTTCCATCACTAGCTTCTGTCCACAACTAGAACACTACGGTACTTGTAAGTAGTGTAAGTCCCGACACCGAGTCCCAAGGTGGATGCAAATATTTGTAATTGGGATTCCAAAAAGGCTCTTGAGTAAAATCATAAACTGAACACAAGCCCAGTTGACTTTTGAGGAAAAACTTTACAAGGAATTTGTGGATCTGTAAGGTGATGAGTTATATGAGTTTTTGGCCTGAGGGGAAACCTGTTTTCAACTTTGAACCAAAATAAAAATGCAAGGATGGATGATTATGGCTTCAAAATCAAACTCGCTGAAATTCAGAAATTCACCCATGTCAAAGAATTTGTACTTTGCCTACACCAGTCACTGCGGAGCGGGAGGGGGGGCTTGAATAATGAAGTTTGTTTTGTACCATGTATGACGGTCTCTCCCACACCGAGCTTGACGCATTTTATTTTGACTGTTGTCCATTTCCCGCAGTTATGTCTGGAACATGCATCCAACTTATAAATCACCGCAAATATCTTGATGCCAAATATTGCCAATTCCCAAGGCGCTTCCCCCCAGATAGTCGTTGATCTGGTTCTCAAGTTATGGGCTTTTGTGAAACATTGGAACGTTTTTCCTACCAGCTAATATATGCTATCTTGTGGTCCTCAAAAGCAGCTTTGACAATTCGCGAGTTTGACCTGAATCTCCCTGTGCCAGAGAGCCTCGATGGCCATGAAGCTGCATCATCTACCTTGCAATTATTCTCAGGAAAGCGAAAGTATGAGCAAATCCAACCTCAGCCGTTGAGCGTTAGTCCCACTTCGGGCCAGGATTTTTTATCTTACGCTCAACTCAGCAAATTAAGTTCAGGTGAGACATCGCTCGGCTTCTTCATACCTTGGGAGGAGCCATTGTAACTGAGACTTTTTGACTAGAATCCATCAACCCCAGCTTCACAACAACCCAACGCAAGTGTTCAAGGGCTCAAACGTCAATTGCAGGTAACAATTCGATGGTCGGAAGCGGGATAAGCCGAGAGACCATTGGCATCGTCCATCATGAAAGTGGGTAGATCGAGACATTGAGCTTCTCAGGACCTGATTCGATAATGAGCTCAAATATCATCTCTCTCTTTCTCTCTCAACAGCCGTTCAGATTCCCGAATGTGGCACAAAGGTCAGTCAGCCACTGGGTCGCTTGGATATTGATCTCCCGCAGATCAAACTGCCAGTCATGCCTCCCATTGACCAGGAAAACGCGAAACAATCCGATTATAAATACTTTTTCTCTCAAGGACGTGTTGTTGAAAAGATCCTACGAAATTTCATTGACCGTTTTGGCGATCAAGTCAGTTCGGAGGACTTCAAATGTGTCGGTCGTCCTTTGTACGACAAACATCCAAACTTGCCGATTGCGCGGGTCGCTCGTCCATGTGGAAAAATGGGGAGAACAGTAAAGGTGCTAGCTGGTGAATCAGATGCGAGACGATCACCGAAGCAATTGATTTCACTTTACAGCCTTTTGGCAGTGGTTTTATACAAGCTCCACGGCGAATCTCTAAACCAGTGTAATATATCAACATTTAATCACAAAATCCAACAAGAAAGATTATTGGGCTGGCTCGACAGAAAAATGTTTGATCCAATTGATCAAGGGCTTCCAATGTTTGGAGTCGTCTACCCACCTTATTCGGCTTGGAATTCAAATGATCCCAGCGTGTACATTGATCCGCTTAGAGTAAAATTAATCCAATACTTCTCTCGGGACATATGTCATACAAATGCCTACTTGACGGCCGTCTATCTATTGAAAACATACCAAGACCAACACCCAAGTACGTTGAGCTTATTTTGATTCCATCACAAACGTTTTGGGCTTATTGAAGAATGATACTAGCTGAGTCCAAATAAAACTTTTTCATTGATGTGAAATTTTTTAATAACTGATCAGGCGAATACTTAACCTTGATTCAATCATCATTGAACATTCCTGTTCAGGAATCAATTGAATTGAATCCAAGCTTCCAGGAGAAAGTCAAAAATTTATCAAACCTAGCTAAATACTCAATCAAATATTGTAATTTCTTGAGTAGTGAACAAAAGTTTGGGCATTTTGAAAAACAACTGAAAATGTTTAAAAATCAATTTGATGGTTCAGAATCCATCCCAGCATCTCTCAGGAGCTATCATCCACAATTACCAATCTCAATTTTCTTTTGTGACCAAAAATCTGATCATCAATTTATAAGAATGTTGGATGCACAAGATAAAATACCAATCATTTGTAGAGATTTGGCAAAAAAATTGAGAAAGCTTTTGGCTTCAGTTGATTGTCTAAACATGACATCCAAGAAAATTGAAAATTGGAGTCCAGGATATCTTAAAATCAAATCCGATCTATCAAGCTGGATTCTTAACTTAATCATAAACCCTGAGGTTGGGATTCCTCTCATAGGGAGTTTCAAGCATGATGAAGATTTTGCTATATGGTATGATGAAGAATCAATTGTATTTGGTGAGATTCAGTTGAAACTCTTGAAATTCTTCTCAGAAAAGGTTACAAATGAAGCTCTTGCTAGGATTTCAGTCTTTCTCCTGGCCATTTATCAGATACAGAGTAATGATCAATTTTTTGTTTGAAAAAGATTCATTTTTTCATCCATAATCACAGTCCATCAAGTTATTCTGGCTTAACTCCACCCAAAGATCTAGCTTTTCCATCATGATGGATTTTGTGAATTAAAATAACCAAATTCTTTGCACATGATAAAATTTAGGCCTTCAAATTTCATCCATTTGAAAACACACAACTTATGTTCTATTAGCCCTTTTTTAATTCACATAGCTGTGAACTTGTGCTTGCTTAGTACTATTATTTTCCAAATAAAAAAAAATCAGATAAGACAATGTGCAGTGAGACCACTGTCTTTTTGTTCAAAAAACCATAAAAAATACTGGTTTACTTTTTGCTTGAACTGATCAAAGGAGTAAATCATTGTAGATGATTCTGTCAAAATTGTTCCACTTGATTGCAATGCATAAAGATGTCCAGAGATAATGGATTGTTGTGCAATTCATTCAAATAACAATGTACAATGGGTGTCTTCAACTAGCAATGAATTGTATTATTGTTCCATCATTTTTGATGAATGAGATGATCAAAATTTGATTTTTGAGGAAAAAATACAACTTATTGAACATCACAAAGAACTACAGAGAACTGATGGTTGTCATTTCAACTTTCCCAAGCAGTGAAATAGACTGAATCAAAGCTTTGCAGAAAAAGGAACAAACAGAAATCAATATTGGATGATGAATGAAAGGGGGAAAATTGTGTCAATTGCAAGGGGGATTTGTACTGTACAGCCAGGTAATACCAGTCCCACCCATTGATGTTCAGTTAGGCACTTTTAAGTTTGAAAAGTGATCAGGGTTTTCAGGAGGAAGTGAAGACATTTCTCCTGGCTATTTATTATTCACCTGCAGGATCAAGAGAAAATGAAGCTATTGACAATGGTTTGGTCTCAGCACTACTTTTCCCTAGGTAAATCAATTCCATATGTATATGTATCAGATGAATCATGAGAGAAACAATGCAACAATCTCTGATCCTCTTGACCATCCTCAACCTTCCTTGATGGTCCAATCCATATTACCATTATGATCACAATTTTTCTCAATGGCCACTAGGTGAAAGTTGCAAAAGAGTTTGCTCAAATTAAATTGCATAGATCAGCTATCCAAGATCCAAATTAACCTGAAGTGTCAATGTAATAGAAGAATTTAAAAAATGACAGGAAAGAAAAATCAAGAAAGAAAAGAGACAGCATGATTTAAAAGCACTTGTTTGGCTGCAGGTAACCTTCCTTGAACAATAAAAACCGCTTTAAAAGAATGATAGAGGCTGAAGAATTTATTTTATCTGTTTTTTTTTTTTTTTTCGTCCGAAGGTGATGAAGGTAGTGAAGAAATGAATCGCTGTCGTTTGCTTGAATTTGGTGGGTATCGTCGCTGATAGGTGGAATCACCATCCCTGAATGTCACGGGTTTCACACAAAGAAGACGAGATTCTATCAACAAAAAGTACCCAAAGAAAATCGAGATAGGTTGGGAGATCCCTTGTGAAGTGATGATAAGCTTACTTTGTCGGCACTACCACATTGGCCCTTAGGGGTAAAATATGTGTCATGGATTGGAACATTGTTACCAGTCCCAATACAAGTTGAGTTTTCCTGTTGAAGTGTAAGGAAACGTTGTCAATCTGGGCTCCTGGATTTCTTACCACCCCCAAAACAACCGGACGCGAAACAAAAATAAGTGAAATTGCTTACATTGTTTCCATAGCAGTTGGTTAACCACTGTTGCATTTCACCAGTAATCTTGACTTTGGTGCCAAGATGGTAGAAGGGCCCCAATGGATATTTCTGTAAGGATCGATGACAAGAGGGTAGCGTGAGTGAAACAATGTGCGACTGAGAAAAATAAACAGGAGCAGACGTACTTGAACCATGTAGTCATTCTCTGAGACTATGCTCTGACCAGCCAACACTTGGAACAAGTTATCATATCGAACTGCCGCCGCATAGTTAAACGCACGGGGCATTCCTTGATTGTGCGAGTAGTGACTTCAGTCGGAAGGAGAGAGATGACACTAAAATTGATAAGCTGGATAATTTTTGTCGAAGCGATGCAGTTGATTTGCTACTTACACATATCCCTGAGCCCCCAACTCTAATCCGGCCAGGGCTGCTACAGCTCCGCCAATTCCGTGACCCGTGACAGAGAATTTCAAACCCTGATGATAGCCGAATATGCCGTTTGAGTTGGAAATTCAGTTGTATGATATAAGACATTATATTGTTTTAATTGGCCTTTTCTTGGAGATGCGCTATTGAAATATGACAGCTTACAGTCTCGGCCACTTTCTTCTTGGCCACTTCCCAGTTGTTTGTGGCTTCTTTGGCGGACAAGTAGAGCTTTTTAACCCCGGCGGCAACCTGGCACCCGGGACAGTTTTCGACTAAATCCTCCACTATCAAAAAAAAAAAAAATGGAACGTTAGAAATCTTCCCCGGTACTTTCAACATCAAAGAGCTCGGAAAGAAGGAATCGTTCACAAGAAAGAGGAGAGGAAGAAAAATGAGGAAAACCTACTCGTAACTGGATTCCAGTTCCTAGTTTGTTTAATTTGATTTGATTTTTCAAGTATTCAGTGGTAAGCTCGCATGTTCTTCTCTGGATGATATTGTCAGGTGAGAATTTTTAAATATACTGACAGCGCATCGTCATTTCTGGTGACAGCACACAACAGAAGAGAAGAATGGTTTAGCTTGGTGGAATGTGGGCTGGCACTGGATTGGGATAGATCATAGTGCTTACTCAAAGCCTCGAAATACAATCACTACTTTTTCCTGCAGAATTGACGGTCGGCAGATTGGTCAATTAGGAATCGTATGCAGGAGAGAGAGATGGAAACAAGAAGAAAAATGTGATACCATCTCAGGTATCAGGGCAGTGAAGCCAGCTTGACCAGCTTTGGTGCTGAATTCTTCTAGAACTGTGAAGCCTTTAGTAAATGTGCTTGGACAGAGTGTCGTGTAGTCGCCATAGGATGCCATTGAGAGGTAGCAATGGAATCTTGAAAGAAGAGGAGTCGAGTGAGCTTATCTGTAGTGTCTTCAGGCTTGTCTGAACAACTCACCGTAAATGGTCTTGTTGCGTGGGATCAGTTTTCCACCAGGGGATTCCGTTAAGGTATTCCCTGATTGAAAAATAGCGAAACAGGTTGATTGAGATGTAAGTCTTTTTGGAAATATGTATGGGCTGACTATTGCAAGATGATTTACCAATCCCGATGATCCGGAGGATAGGCTGAGTTGGTGCTAGGACTCGAGCCAGTGTCACGAGCACTCGAGTCAGTGTCACGAGCACTCGAGTCAGTGTTGAGAGCACTCGAGCCAGTGTTGCGAGCATTCGAGCCAGTGTTGAGAGTACTCGAGCCAGTCTTGCGAGCATTCGAGCCAGTGTTACGAGCATCCGAGCCAGTGTTGAGAGCATTTGAGCCAGTATTACGGGCATCTGAGCCAGTGTCAGGACTGGAACTGGCCACATTATTGGGGTTGCGGGTGGGGACAGTACTGCGACTTGGGTCGGGGACAGTACTGGGAGTGCGGTTGGAGACAGTTTTGGGAGTATTATCAGAGGCAGTATTAAGCATGGGTGGGTTGGTGTTTGTCTGGGGAGTTCCGGAAGACTCGGTTTGAGTTGAGGGTAGAGCCCGGGGACGGATGGCTCTGTGGGCACCAGAAAGCCTGTTTGAAATTTTACAAGGGTTCACGCCTGGTCAACGCATTGCAATGTTTAGGTCACGAAATAAAAAAGAAGCCCACCCAACGAGTGATGTGAAGAAGATCAAAGCTTCGGTTCGGCCGAAAATCATCTTGAGGTGCTGGACAAAGGGGGGATAAGGAAGTGGATCAGGTCACTATTGAGGTGAAGCAGAGATGATTTGGAAGTTCAACAAACAGGATAGATCACTGGGGAACAGGAAAAAGAGTGTCTGAGCAGTCAAATGTTGCCTATTCTTGAATTTCGGATGGGATGAGCCCAGAGCAGATAGGAAAGTAGGAATAAAAGGAATGAATTTCTTGTTTGTGTATTGAGAGACACCCAAGAGAGACCGGGGCGGACGAAAGTTGGGAACTGGTAGTCACTATTTTAGTTTCTGGCCAGGGAAATGGGTGATCAGGGGGCCTGTAGAAGTCAAGGGAAGGCCGTTAGAGTTGGTGGATATGGGAAGGCTCATAAGGATTTGTAATCGGGATGCAGACTCACCTGTCTCATCGAGTGGAAACCACCAAATTCCGAGCTTGAAGATGGAAATGTATTGAGGTATTCTTGAGATACAGTTCCTGTATACAGGCGCCTTAATACAGACTGTGGCACAAGCACCGGCGGCTCTAGAGGTGTCAGGACTACATATCACCTTAAAGGCTTTTTATAGTGTTACATAATTGCGTATACATCGAACTGCGGGTATTTTAGGATACTTTCCGGTGATTTGTACATGGCTCACTCAAACCGCTCCATCTAGCATCAGCAGCATCAGCGGAGAGTTTCGTGAACCAATCGGACTTGGGACAAGATTGCTTTAAGAGGAGAGGACTCAGGAGACTGCCAAGTGGATTTGCTGGCCGTGGCGGAGTTTAACACCATCCAGAATCACATATCCATAGTGGAAGTTGCAACCCCAGCGTCGTGGTCTGTCTGGACCTATGGAGCTGGTCAGCCATCAGGCGAGCGCAGACACAGCGTACGAGCAAAACTTTCTGTGCACTAGCTAAATTTAGTTTCGAGGCTCACAACAGGTCAGAACGCAGGCCGGAGATCGCTGATGTGCGTTATCTACGCTCCTCAAATTCCGGCCGGGACAGTCGGACCATCTACACCGACCTACCCTTGGATGATGCCGAATGCTTATAGTGAATTGTATAATGTGAACACACGATATCTGCAGCATTCTAGCTTGTAAAATAGTCAACACGAGGATGTTCTATCTCTCCGGACATCTGTGACCATCGCCGCATCCCGCTGAAAAAGGATGATCGAGGAGTCGAGGTTGCTGGATCGGCCAGCCAACAGAAGAACTAGTTCCGCGGGACTGCCGTCCAGGCCCGCCCGACTTATCATGAGAGGCTTGGCTGTGGGTTTGTGTTTGGGGTACGGCTTCCTTCTCTCGCTAGTTGGAAGTTGACTGGGCGACCCAGCCCCGGTTTAGCAACCAGGCAACCTTGCCAACTGGTGTATATGTTGTGTCTCTAGAGATAGAGGGGTGCGGGGTGCGGCTTCTAGCGGCGTCAATCTTCCTCCTTGAACATGTTCACTCTATCCAACCAGCGGGACTTGATTAAGCGACAAGAAACAACCGGCCATAGCAACTCGCGGTATATCCAGGTAAATAAATGTTAGGAAAATGATTAGAATTCAACCAGATGCACATCGGGATGGATACAACTTCCCCGAACTTAAGACAAGCCTCCCAGACGAGGTTGCGCCAACCGGAGGGACTTGGGCTAAGCTCGGTGCTCTTCTGAAGTTTGAAGGTTGGTGAAGCGGAATGTACCAGGAAACTGCGCAGAAAATGTCATGGAGACGCTTGGTCCGGCATCAGGAAACATACAGACATGATGAAAAGACAATGGTTTTTCCCCTTCATCATTCAAGTCAAACTACTTCAGCGGCTCCAGCCTCAAGCAGCTTTTCCCTTGGTGCACAAGTAGAAAAATGATATCCTTTGGATGGAACTGAGTTACAATACTATTATTTCTTGTTTGTTGCAATGCAAGCTTTCAAATTCAAGTGTGAACGAACAGGATCTTGGACTACGCAAAACTTCGACACCACTACCTTGTCTGAAAACTTGATTTAATTTGAGAGCAGTCTGAAGTGAATGACTTGATTGATTTAGAAATGTCACATATTCCAACTCATTCTGACAGTCGGTGCACCTCTTGGAAATAGGATAACAGGTCATTCTTTGACCTCCATTGACCAACATCACACAAGTCTCTCCCCAGGTCAGAATCGGCCAAGCAGGGCTTTAGTAGACTAATGCAATCTTCATTCCTGGTGCCAGCTTCCAATTCCCTCGTGCGTAAATCGACCTGGTTTTTGCATCAACATGCACAGGCAATAGTTGGGCACCCGATTCGAGCTGAGGACTGTCTATTACACGCATCCCCTTGATTTTTTGGATGTTTGGAACGTTTGAAAATGTCCATTGGCCAACGGAAATGCTTATATCTTTTAACCTGGAGCCTAGTCGACCCGAGATGTGCAAGACGCGTTGATCGTAGGTAAATTCCAAGTCGGCAGTTTCTTCAGCAAGCGGTTCAAGCGATTCTCCATCATCCAAGTATAGTGAACCCTTGGCTGAGCCTGAACTATTAGGTAATACTAGGATCTGATAAAATAAGGAGATACTGTTAATGTCTGCCCACTTTCAAAAGTAGAAATAATGATGACTTACCTCGAAACTTTTGCTCCTGACCTCAGTTGTTGTCATAGCTAATGTTTGGTTGGTAGCGACTTGCCGAATTGGTAAAATTGATCCCGGCTTGATGTGTACCGGTATCTGATCTATTTGAATGTTTTTCAAGTCTATGTTACCTGAATTGCCTACAATTTTCCTACTGGAAAATTCAATGTACTAATAAATCGAAAAGTGTGTGCAATCAATACCTCTCATTCAATATTGGGCAAGAATCAGGCAAATGGATGAGGTGCGGGGATGGGGAAAAGAGGGACTCCTGAAAGCGTAATCTCACATTAGATTCCGGGAAATAAGCATTGACTGTTATAGAATTCGCCTCAACGACTGGTGAGATCAACTACATGAATCCGAGACAGATGAGCCTGGTGAAATTTTGAAAGAGTGAGAAGTGCATAGGACTAACAATAGCATCTCCAAAGAAAAATTGTTTGTCGATCCCAAATGTTGATGTGTCTTGAGGGTACGCAAACCAAAGAGGTTTTAGGGCAGGTTCACCGGTCAAGCTCTGCCTTCTCATGTGAGTGTAGAAATAATCCAACAGGCTGTATCTAGTCTTGATCGCATTTCTAGCAGAGCGAGCTACAGATTCCCAACGGTAAAATTCTTGACTGATCATGCCAAGCTCATTGTGATTTCTAAAAAAAGGAGATGAGAGAATTTTGACAATCAGTCTCACATGTCTTAACGCCCAAGATAAGAAGTGAGATTGTATTGAACGCGCCGATAAAATGGATAAAATGCCCCCAAGGACGCCCATCTGGCACAAAGTTCTTCATTAGTATTAGAGCCAAAACCGCAGACATCCGCGCCAACCAGAGGAATTTGGAAGAGTGCAGCAAATGACATGATTTCGGTGATGGAAGACAGATAATGGGTCCAATCGGAGAGATTATCGCCAGTCCAATGAGCAACTACAGTGTTCATAATGAATCCAGAAATCAGATCTTGTTTTCCTAAGGTTAAATTGTCACGCTTACCATATGCTCCGGCGCCTGCAAAAGTTGATCGGGTCACTACTTGAGGTCGCACCTTGCTTCTTCGATGTAGCATTGCTTTGCGAGTGATCCAAGACATGAAAGTACCGTAGAGGTTGTGGACATCATACCTGAGGTGAAATGGCGAGTTGATTAGTCAACTGGGCTTCCCTGCATTCTGGCTGATTGCTTTTTTTGCACTCACTCGGTTAATCCGTTGTGATGAACCAAGTCCGTGCGAATAGTTCCCTTGGCAAGTTCTCCAGCGGCATTATGTATTTGATATTGAGTGTTGTCCTCCACCCCTCGACGGCCATGTAGTTTTCCAATAGGTAGAGGAACATCTTTCGGAGGAGGAGGGTTCTTACGTGCCGGTGGGTTTCCAGATGCAATGGCCTGGGCACCGGGCAATAAGTTTGTGTTGTTACACGGATAGGCACAAGGTAAGGCAAAATTGGCAGGCTCATTCACTGCAAACAAAGCAAGACGTAAGGCAATGTTTCCCTGCAATGATGTGCGAAGAAGCTATGCGCACTGTCTATCCAAATTCCATCGATGTCGATACCGTTTGTCGGATTAAAGAATCTTTCGATCTCATTAATCCAGAACGCCTCAGCATTTGGATGAAACCAATCTGGATACACACTAACGCCTATGGCGAGAATCCCAGATACAGATAGCAAGTCAGTCAATGAAAGCTACTGGGGAATGATCGACTTACCTGCCCAAACTACCCCTTGAAAGACCTTCCCGTCTTTCTCTTTCATGAATACATCAGCCTCCGTGCCTCGATCAAAGGTTCCTTTGTCCCCAGGTTGGTAAGCTACGGCTGGATCGATCATCATCACTAGAAAAAAAGATTTGGCTCAGATACGACAAGTGAAGCTTTCAATCCGAGTTCAAAAAACCTACCGTAACGTTGATTGTTTTTGTGGAGTGATTTGACAATCTCCTGCATCCGATTCAGCGGAAAATAATCAGGGTCAAGCGTAAAAGTGCGGCGTTTGTACATGTAATCGATGTCGGTCCACCTGGTGGCCGAAAGCAAACCAAAGAAAAATCAAAATCGACTAGCTTATAGCTCGTAAATAGTTCTATCTCGAGGTCATTTCAACTCACATTGTCTCCAATGGAATTCCTGCTTTGGAATAATTAGCAATTACTTCGGCCACTTCGACATAATCTGTGGATGTATAACAACGCACATTGAGTTAGTTATGATCACTCAGAGGAGTCGCATAGAACACACGAGAAATATTTACTTGAGTATCCATATCTGCATTGCTGGAAACCAAGGGACCAGTACGGTATCATGGCGGGCAGACCGGCTAGCGCGGAATACTGCTCAGCAACCTTCACCGGTGAGGGCCCTGCCAGGAAGTAAAAATCCAGCACCCCACCTTTGAGGCGCGTACATGTGAGGATGTGCAGTCTACCTAATGTCGAACATCTAGAACAGTCGTGCAGATAATTTCTTACCAGTAACGTCATATTGAATCGATTCCTTGTTCAAAGTAATGTCCATTCCATTCGAGTTCAAGAGGAAAACCCCATGTGTGCCATTGGGTCTATGGTCGTAGTATATGGGATGTGTCCCATATAAGTTGGTTCCCTTTTGTGTCCCGTATGCATCCCGTGCCCTGAATCACTAATTGGTTAATATGCTGGAAATTATTGATGAAAAATATTTAGATTTTTGGTTGGGAAGGTTTACTAACCACATGGTTCTCCGAGTGCCATTTCCATCCAAGTTGATCCGGAACGTATCAGTGCTTTCTCCCAAGCCGTAAATATTGGCATTTGGAGACAATTGAGTCGCGATCTGGATGTGTTTATCCCGGTAGATGATAGGATGCGAAATCGTTGAGAATAAAACTTCCCGGGTGCTTCGGCGGGAAACAGTAAAAGAAAAGGGTGCAGTTTCGTATGAAAACACAAGACCGGTATTGGCAGAACTCTTTGGGAGCACATTCGTAGAGTGGATAGGACGTGGAAACAGAAAATCTGGGACTTCGTAACGCTTCTTCCCAGCGTCCACAATCCGAACGTGAAGACGCTCGTCTAAAACAAACGGAAATAGAAGCCTAGGTTGAGTTCATTTTTCCATTTTTCGCAGTTTGGAGCAAGACTTACCTGTGTCATAATTCACAATCAATTTCAAAGATGCAATGTCATCAGCTTGGCATGGCGAACCATTCAGCATTAGTGACGCATCGAATCCGTCCACGGTTTTGTTTAGTTCCGAGAGCACGTAAGACGGGCATTTTTCTGCTCTAGAAACAGATAACACTGCTGAAAGCCACCAGAGTGAAGCTGCGACTGAAAATAGTATCATCGTTGGGTTTGGAGGAATGGTCTGGATGGGCTTGGGATGAAAGCGCAAAGAGGAAGTAAATTGATACCAGGTGCACCGTGCACCGGAGGGTTATATGAAGCTCAAAGATTATTGTAGCAAAATCAGACTCCTCAGAAGATAATAAGAAAACTGATGCAGCCGGGGGGAGAATATGACTGGCCTGCTTATAACCTTTTCCCCATGTAATTCCTCTTGTGTCGGTGGCTTCCGTCAGCGGCAATGTAACAATCGATGCTAATCATCGCGGCACCAATTGATCGGCGAGTGAAACAACATACCACCAGAGCGGAGGCGTATCTAGGCGTATATATAATATATTCTGTGTATGTTCGTGCGTAGAAAAATCAGTAGGGTGCGTCGATCAACAAGGCCCACTTTCACAATCATTTCGCCCATTCTGTTAGAGCGCTTCCTCGGAGGGATTGGCATGTGTGACAAGGAAATGTGTCCGTATAAATCGATGTTGATAATACTCTCAGACCACTTGGACTGAGCAACTAGTCTGCAGTCACCACCTGTAAATTGATGGGCAATCAGAGCCATCGACCGCGGTCTGCCCATAGCTGGAGATTGAATCTCAGCGATAGAGAGCTCTAGTACGCTGATTCCATACAGCTAGTGTAGGCTCGGATCAGTGCAGGGTTGGGCCAAATGGTTAATTTCCAAGTTCCAGAACATGCTCCGGCACGAAGTCTAGTATGGCGTGGTGAGTAACGAGCCAGTGACATATAACAGAGAGCAGGCAATACGTAGTAAGAGCTAATCCCTGCTAGACCTTACTCTTGACTGCTAAAAGATGTGTTGGCAACTTTCCCAAAATGGACAAGACAAGCTATGTTCTTGAAGCAATAGAGACCAAACCACCAGATTAACTTTATCAAGAGAAGCTGAAGCGGGACGAAATTGCAATCCGACAGTGGGCCGGGCTTTGCTCGGAGTGCCGAGCGTTCGGGTTGGATACTCCGAAACCGAGCCCGACGGCCCGATGTGATCAAGAATATAGGATGACGTCAGTACTCCCCGCCCCCGAAACCGATGATTCCTGGAATATCATCAGCTGTTCCAGATGATCGACGGAGAAACTTCATCCACAACCAACCAGGACACATAAATACACAAAAGCCAACCAGGATACATAAGCACCAAGATGATATCGAAATCAGAACAAAAAGACTTACATCTACTCACCATGTCTACGCCGAATGGCAAGAAGGTACAGATAGCATTAGAAGAGCTTAAGTTGGTTTATGATGACATCTCTTTTTCCCATGAGATGATCGATATCAGAACAAACCAACAAAAATCCGAAGAGTTTTTGAAGGTCAATCCAAATGGTACGCGTGTCCTTCATCTTTCCACTATCCTTTCAAGCTCAGCACCCAAACCACATTCCAGCCGATCTCAAAGCTGATGGAATGGTGCTCGTTTTACGCGGTCAATGGCACAGGTCGAATTCCCGCTTTGATTGATAACAAGTGCAAAGCGCTCAACGACCCGTCTGCGCCCTTCACAGTGATGGAAAGCGCCGCCATCTTGCTGGTAAGTGATCTGCTTGAGGAAGATGAGATTATACTGGTCCTAATCATTAATGATTTAACTCTCGTGTGAAACATAAACGAAACAAAGTACTTGGCCAAGAAAGTCGATAAAAACCACGTCTTCGGATTCGAAGACGATCTAGAGCGCTCCGAGGCATTACAGTGGCTGTTCTTCGGGATGGCTGGCGTTGGTCCGATGCAAGGACAATTAAATCATTTCACCCGTATGTCATCAAGCTTTCTTCCACAGCAGAGAATCTAGAATCTTGTGCAGTTGTTCACCTCGTTGAACTTGTGCCACTTTAGGTTACGCGCCCGAAAAACTGCCTTACGCCATGAAACGCTATCATGACGAAACCCTCAGATTGTATGGTGTCTTAGAAATCCAATTAAGTGGCAAATACACTGGGGTCAAAAAGAAATATTTGGCCGGCAAGGGAGAAGGGAAATACTCGTGGGCAGACATGGCCATTTGGCCGTAAGTGGACTTCCAAACAACCAGCATGCCAATCCATGAATCCGAAATTCTCGACTGACTTTCCTGTTTTCATAATTTTCTTGGAACGATGTCAACCTGACTAGATGGGTTGACATTTACACCATATCAGGTATCACCGACGATGAAATGAACCAATTTCCTTGCTTGATGGAGTGGCTCAAATCGATCCGCGAGAGACCCGGTGTGAAAGAAGGTTGCTCAAGCAAGTACGAGTAAGTTGCCTTTAATCAACACCGCTTCCGTCGTCAAGGAAGCACTGCAGCTCAACTGAAACAAAAAACATCCTCTCGCCCCCGCCCCCTCCCCCTAACTACATCTACAATTCCGAAAGCTTAAAATAATCTTGGAGGATGATTATCTTAGCAGAACGTCTCGCCTACCTGAGGGCTGGAGGACTGAACTATCACTATCCCGACCAAGAAAAGATATCGCAAAAGAAGTTCATTTGGTCTGTTAAATTATGCTACCCCCATCACTTTTGTAAACAAAGTGTCTCAGTTGTGTTGTCAACACAACATGACTGTTGGCAAGACTGCATCACATTGGTAAACCCGGTGCTAAAGGTATTGATATTACTTGAATTAAAAGAAAAAATCACGCTGTTCTATCAATCATGTAGTAGGTAGAACATTTCTGTACCTCCTACATATATCACGTTGTACTTAACCCTGCTTTGAAATAAGAAGTTATCCCTGAAATGAAAAAGTGTTCTGAGTCAACAAGGGTTACATCAAGACTTGGTTAATTTCTCTAGTTAACAACTTCAATTGAGTGATATTTGGTGGACTTCCCTCCACAGGGATCTGTACGTACTCAGATTGCGGGGTTTTCCTCCTTGTACTCAAACAAGAGCTGCTCTTAGAAGTGAGTCAGGAAGGGAAAGGTAGAATAGAAATGATATGATTGAGTGCCGGGAGAGCAATGCATTGGAAACATTTCTCATAAGTAGCAATGCCTGATTGAGATTATGTTGAATCCAAAGTCATAAGTGTATCTTGCCAGCACTACAAGGACAAATGCTAGTTGACCCAAATTGTGTACCTCGAGGAGACATCAAAGAGTGAATATCTGACGTGCTATACATATACTTCATTTGTTCTGAAAACTTGGATGACTATATGATGAAAAGTGAAGACTCACTTTGAAAGATATGCTTGTTTCTACTAATGAAAATCAATACTTGATAAGAGGAGGAAATGTGTTTGGATGAGTTCTCTAAGGATTTCCATTGTCTGATTCCATGGGTGGCTTTACCTTCCATATGTCTGAAAGCTCACAAATATTTCAATATTGGACGCACAGTTCTTTCAAATTCCACATTGTGATAACTCCCTCCCTGTTGAGTTTTCCTGTCTCTTGCCTACTTCTTCCCCAAAATATCCTCTAGGCTCTATTCCTCTTCTTTTCTCCTTTCCCTCTTTCTTGAATCTCCTCCAATTAGACTAGATTATAGCCATTAATTAGCCTGTTTTTTGTTGCCTGAAGCCACTTCCGTAGTCAATGAACCTTAATTAATAAGCTCTTGTCAAATTGAACTACTCATGTCTCTCTAATTCATTCTTATTTTCTTCTAATTAGGTTGATTCATAAAATGTGATTATTGAGAATTAACACCTCTTAAACATCTGTGGTCAAGTGTATGTTTTTTCATGATTAACTTTCTAGCTTGACCAAAAAAGACTGAGAAGGCTTGTCTGTTTTTTTCTTCCATGAACTTGTACATTTCCTCCTCTCAGTTTTTATTCAATTTCTACTCTACCACAATTTCTACCTATTCTATTTAAACTAGTCTAGCTCAAAGGAATAAACACTATTGGTTCTTTCACTCTTTTTGTGTGAGCCTCTCCCAAAAAAGGACCTTCTCTTTCTTGGCCCCTTTCTCTTGCGCTTTAGCTCATGATTTTGACAACCTCCTACCCTTCCTGAACTTTGTCACATGCCCACCGCCCTGGAAGAAATTATAGGCCAAAATCCCACTACAGTGGCTAGACAGAATTTTCCACCACACTACTTTGGAAGCAGTAAACTCAACCCACCCACTCAATGTAATTGGTATTGGTTCATAATGTTGGAATATCATTCCTTGTCTTAGCCCTTGAAAGAGGAGAATGTCAGGTAAGTCATCAACTTGATTGATAAACTTCTTGAAAAAACAAGTTTCATTGCGCTGATCAATTAAATCTTGATCATGCGTAGAGTTAGACTGTTCTGCAAGCAAACAATAGCAAAGCAAGCTTTTAGCTGGCAAATCAAGAAATGATGTCACTGACATCATGAACTTAAACATGAATGATGATCATGATCAATCATCAATCTCTAGGTGAGTCTTCATTGATTTGTTCAAAAGAAAGAGGAATCAAATAAGGAGAACAAAGTTCTAATTCCTTTGATCTCAAAATATCATCATCACTTTGTTTAGTTCATACTTGCACAAACCAGCATCAAACAATCTCATCAATCATATATTTCCACCTATAAATGGTAAGCAAGAAGTTAAAGCTTCTTGAGCCTTTTTCTTTTAATAAGAAAAAGAGAAAACTGAATAACTGAATTATTATTCTTATCAATGAACATGCATTAGACTCATCAAAAAAATAATGTTACTCAGGTTATTATAAGTAAAATAATTATATTCTTTATTCATAAAGTCAAGTATACTTCAACACTTGAATAACATGGAGATAAGTGATAAAGGTAGCTAAAAGTTTAATGAATTTTCTGAAAAACTGATTTAACTATCTTTATACTCTAAAAAAACTAAAAATAACTTAGCCAAATTTATCTCTTCATTGTTATCCAAGTATTACTATCAGAATTAACAGATTAGTTATGCCTTTGTTTGTTGAAAGAACAATTAACTATAAAGAAGTGAATACTTCAGTTCCAAATTCTTTCACATAATAGGCTTTCAAGAATGAATATGAAAAATGATCAATAAGAGCAACTTTTTCTGGAAAGCTGAAATATTTTTTTTGAGAAAGGTGAATGCAAAATATGTTACACAAGAAGACTGAAAGCAAATAAAAAAATGAAACACAAAAAAGGTTTAGCTTGGTGGGTATAAAATCTGCAGCCAAAATCTTCAGTTCACAGCACCAGAATCAAGCTGAACTAGGCCTCCACAACAGGAGTGGTAGCAAGCAGCAGAGGTGAGTTGGAGGCCTAAACCTTAAGTTGGAATCCTTGTATGGCAAGATTATGAATTCAGAATAAAATCCAACATTTTTGCATAATTTCTGATCTACTGGCTCCCAAATCCTCATCTGTTTGATTTCCTTCCCAGACAGGGGAGGCCTGCTTCTCATACATCTTTCTCTTTGTCCACTTTTTTGTGACATGTTCTCAGATATTTTATAGCTTTTTTTGAAAAGGTCAACTTTTCAGCTCACATTGACTTCTTTTGGTGTGGGCAAGTTGAGCAAACTCCACACTTGAGCTTGATAAAAGTCCAAACCTTGATTTTATAAAATCATTATATTCAAGTGTTGTACTATTTCTGTTATTTGGTTGTATTGACAGGGACATGCATACCATCAAGAAAATCTAACCAAACATAAAAATAGTTGAGAGTCAATCATGTGGTTGCAAAGTTAATTCTCCCCTGTGGGGAGTACTCAGGAAACAGGCTGGCCAGTGCCATGCTGCCAGATGCTCCCTTCATAGCCGTGACTTGAGTTAATTTTGTGCCAGAACACCATGTGTGCTGATGAATTACCCACTCAACACAGGTTTTTAACCCTACAGAATTTTTTTTTTCAACAATTCAACTTATCATCATTCATTTCAGATCTTATACTATCATTCCTCAGCTTTCATTTTTTTTTTTTCAAGAACAGTATTAAAGTTCTTTGTTTACTTTTTCAATGTTTTACAAATTTCAAAAATTTACTTTTTGTAATCATTTGTTCATATTCATTCTTGGAAGCCTATCATGAAATATTTCACCAATTACAATGAATTGAAGTGGGTGGGTTGAGATGCTAGATTCCAAAAACAGTGTGGTGGAAACTTCTGCCTAGCCACTGCGTACATCACACATGATGACATGCCAAGTAACACTCAATTACAATACCTCAGACCCTCAATAACACATACCAGTATTTGGCCCAAATCTTGGGGGTTTTTACCTTTTTCCCCTTGTTGGGGATTCATTGAGTCAAGAACCTGTCTCAGGCCCTGCTAGGCTGAAAATTATGGCATGTGATTGGGCTAAGTGAAAAATGATTTACTAGATTGCTAAAGACAAAAACCAGACTAAGATAAAGGAAAAGATTAGAACAGGATTAAAGAAAAGAAAAAAGGAATGACAAGAGAAAATCAGGAGCATACCACCAAGAGATAACAAGAAGATGTAAACAAAAAGTAGAGGACTTTGAATGAAGACAGAGTTTTTTAAGAAGAGCACAACTGCAAGAATAGAAAGCAGAATAAGATAAGGAACAAGAGATTAGCAATTTCAACATCAAACAACACAGGACTAGAAGAAGAGAGAGATTAAAGAGGAGAGGAACAAACAGCATGTTGAGCAGACATGATGTGAATGAGACGGATAGTTTATTAATGAGACTTCTTGATTGAGTCGCAAGTAAATCTTGAGGGAGAGAGAGATCCAAATCAGAGACCAATTCGAGTGAGTGAGAAGGAGCAATTAGACTTTACAGTTTTTTTTTTCAATCTTGACAAGGGGCGGCAGTTCTTGAGCAAGTTGAGGACCGGAGAATCTTGTCAAGTCTACGGTTTAAAGGATGAGCACAGAGAGTTTTTTATATGTCAAGGAAGACTAGACCTAAGCGTGTGGTGATACTCTCATATACTAGAGTGGCTGCGGAGAGGCCAAGGCAAGCAGTGCTAGACACGGGTTTAGGATACCTGACAGGTCTGCTAAAACTCAACACTAAGGTTTGGTTTGGATTTGGACCATGCAATATAAAACAATATGAAGTTTTTGAACAAACTAAAAATTACAGCCAGCCAAACAGGCCCACAGGGCCTCAGTATAATGATGGAATTTGATTTCAAATCTTCATGAGAATTAAGTAACTGTACCACAGCCACAAATGTTTCCAATTTCCAGGTCAACTTCCAATTTCAAACACAGAAATTGAATACAACAGAAATGGTGGACTGAAAAAACTTGTTGCAAGTCACTTGCTTCTGGAGGGCCTGGTGGCCTTGGCTTGGGTGAAATGCTACACATGCAAAGTGCAAGTCTTCAAAGGAGGGACTTTAACAAGCACATGTCTATGTGTTGCTCCTGGGCATTTTTGGTGGAACACATATTGAGCTGGATGTACGGCATATACATCACAAGCTACCTACCAACTGAGTGGACAAGGCTTTAGACCTTCATGATGCCTCTCACCTCATCCAATTTTCAGAGCTTTATCCTGAAAATTGGATGCAGCAGATTTTTTTCAAGTTTTTTGAATTGAAAAAACTTGCTCAAATATTAGGCTGTGAGGTGAAAAATTGCTTACATAATAGGCAGTCTGTTGGAATTCTCCCTGTCTGTGTCCTCCACTCCCTGCTCTTAATTCTTGTGCTCCTTCAATTCCCTTTTTGTCCTCTTTCTCATCCCATCTCCTTGTCTCAACTCATTCTTCTTTTTCTTCCTCCAACACATCTACAAATCACCAAACTCATCTCAAAGGCAAAGAATTGACCACAACTTGGCCAACAAAACAATGACCTATCACCATCTCAAGCAACACAACCAAAAGCCAAACACTCTTGATCTTACTATAAAACAACCCAATTTCTGTCCTCAATGAACCATTCCCCAACAGCTCACTCCCGTTGCCTCATCAACATCAAAACTTCAAAGACAAATTGCCTCCTGCTTGATCTTCATCCTCACAACCACCATTCAACATTCCCACTCTTCACTTTCCCTTTTGCCTTTGGCTCTTCCCTTCTATTGTCCTATATCTCCTGTTGCTCTTCTCTCTCATCAAACAAACTCATCAATATGAAAAACATCTCAATATACATTCCCCAACTTCCACTCTTCTTATTGCCCCAAGTCACTCTCTCGCCTGCCTCTAATGGCTATTGCCAATTTGTTGAGAAAACATAAGACTAGCATCTGTCTTCAAGAATCAAGCTCATCTTTTTTTTTTTTGAAATTTTTGGATAGCTCTTAATACTTGTTGCTGTTTGATATCTTATGAGGCACTCAGTTACCGGATCTGTACTCAACATGCTTTCCTCACTGAATCATAATATAGATATTCTGATTGTCAAGTTCACTCATGAGTCTTAACCTCACTCAGTGTTTCAGTCCCTGGTGTCCCTCAACAATTATGAGGCAATAAATCAGGCAGGCAGAGATATAAGTTCAAAAATAGTTCTGGTAGGCTATATCTTTTTTCTCAAGAACTGTTTCTACTCTTGTCTTAAAAAAAGGAGTCTAAAAATGTTGTCCTTTTTTACATTTCTGGTTTTGGTATCAATTATAATAGTGGGATTCAAAGTTGATTTTTGAACAGGATTTGGCACAAATTCATAAGCTCAAGAGGTTCAAAATTTTTGTTTTCTGAAACTTACAATTGCTCTTTGTTTGGAACACTTATCAAAACTTCTGTGAAATTCATGATGTTGTGTATAACGTTGTTCAAAAATTAACTTTGAAACCCCCTAATTCCTGTTTTTCATCACAGTCAACCTCAGCCAAATCAATTTTCCTTTTGAATTTTTGATCCCGTAGTTTCAATTTTATTTCAAATATTTATTGACAGAAATTAACATCAATATCTGGGGATCTTCAACCAATCTAAAAGATGAACTTTCTGGAAATTATGGTGAAAAAACACTCCAAAAACTTGGGAGCAACATGTGTGCATGTTTGTATTGGGCACAGGCCTCTTGCACACTTTGTGCGCAAGAGATATTGTGTACTGTATAAGGGCCTGTACTGTAGCACATGACAATTCAATTTCTCTGAATTTATCTTCATAAAATATTCATGTCATCAAAGTGACCATCACAACAGCTAGTTTGGGCTACAAGTAAGATATCTTTCAAATGATCCATGGTACAGGGCCTTAATACAGATGGGAATTGATGTTTAGCACCTACATTGGAAATAATTACTCAGCCTATTTGCTGTATCACATTTAAAAACACATGAGCCAAGCTTATCCCATTGCATAAAAAACTAGTTATTACCCCTTTTAGTACCAAAAAAATCAAATTCATCTTCCAAAAAACCTCACACCACATTACTACTCATTTCTTACTAGAAAAACCAGGTGATTCATTCTCTTTCAATTGGATCAAAGGTTGGCCAATTCAATCCATGTTGGTTTGGAACTCTCAGCCTCAGCCCACCAACATGAAGATATGGTGCGTGGTCAAGTGGTTCAAGATAGATCTTGGAGAATGGCTTCAAAATCCAATATTAAAGGCCTGTACTGCAGGGTTCATTTTTGAAGAAGTGGATGTTTTTTCTGTCTTCTACACAAAAACCGGGAACAGTTGGAGATAATTTTCACTTTAAGGATAAAAACTGGCTTTTGGTCACAGTCACCTTTGATGATATGAACTTTTGAGCAAGATAAATGTTGAAAAATTCAATTTTCATCTCATATGACACTGTTGAGTTTTTCACTCCTCTGGTCTACTCCTTCCCAATAACTCCTCCCTTTTTTCTTTCATGAATCTTCTTGATTTAGACTGAATTGTAGTCTTTTACTGCTGGTTTTGTAATCTTATGCACTTCTTTGAGTCTAATTAGAACTATCAATAGCAATTTTATCAACAACTCATGTCTTTCTGATTGATTCCTTTCTTTTCTATTTCACTATTTGATTCCAGAAAACTGATTATTTGGAATTAACGACTCTAAATATTTGTTCTAGAATTTTTGATTTTTCTTGATTAACTTTTCTCGTCTGACTAAAAGAGACTGAGAAGTCCGGCTAAGACTGTTTCTTCCAAGACCTCAAATTATTCTATCTCTTAGTTTTTTATTCAACTTCCTTTTTTATTCAATTTGATTACATGTATTTAGTCCATTTAATCTGGCTATCTACCTGTGAATGAAAATTATTGGTTTTTCCATTTGTTTTCCGTGAACCATTCCCAAAAAAGTTCCTCAAACTTTTTGCACCCTTTTCTCAAAATCCTCATCTTTGACTGTGATCAGGAGCTCAGAATTTCTACAGACACAGGCCCTAAAACTATCACTACTTGTGGGGGGGAGAGATTTCAATTCACTTTCATAATCCACCAGCTCTTGCTTATCTTCATTATCATAATCCTTGTATTTCCCCCCACCCCTTTTTATATCTCCTTTCTTCCATACATACCAGAATCAAATACTTGTTCAATGCCTCTGCTTGGCACGCAATATCTACAGAAGACTTGGTTGAATGGATAGATATGTAATTCTTTCCTTGGGCTACGAATTATGAAGTTGGCTTGATAAAATTTCCTCTGGTAAGGCTTGGCTATGGCAATTGCACTATTTTTACCAACACACAATTAGCGCATTAGTATAAGCACACTTTCTGGGTTCCTGACGCTGTTCCATGAGTGGATTCTGGCATCAATTCCCTGGTATGTGCTGTGTTATACAACTTATACCCATTTCATGAGAAAACCCAAAAGAGAAGGGATTAAAAATTGGTACAACATAGAACTATGAGGAGACTTATCTTGCAAATACATTGATTGGAAATATAATACCACTAAAACTGGCAGAAACCTATGCTTGCTTCTGTGTTACACTACCCTATTTTACCTAGTAATGCAGTGTAAGTAACATTGTGGCTGGGATTGAACCTGATTTTTTGGTTTGGGTTGATCATGTTCAGTTTCTTGATCAGTGCCAATTTTCCCACCCAAATACACCCAGATCCAACAGTGAAAATAGTACTAATAGGTTAGGAGGCTGGCTGGCCAAAAATAGTATGTAAGAACTTCTCTAGTAAAAAATATAAGTTGGGTTTTGGTTGGGTTGATTGACTGAGCAAACCAAAATGTTTTCCATGCAGATCAAAATGGATCTAAAATCAGTTTGAGAAGGAACACAGGAAAGAGAGATTCACATGCTGACAAGTTCATCCATGGTCAATAAAAAAAACTACACTGGTCTAATAGGAGAGGATAGTGGATGACAACAAATGACTGCTCCTGGCATTTTTACTCTTGAGACCAATACAAACTGATTGGACCAATAAGAAGTCAGTGAAGGGACCAAGCAAGAAAGCTGTATCTCCTAAGCAACTGGAAGCTGACAGTCTATCAGTATCTGGTCAGTTGAAAAATTGAAGAAGCAAATTATGCTTTCCTGCCATTTGAGCAAGTGAAATGCTTGAACTTGAATCCTTCAACACATGTTTGTTGAATAATGTTTAGTCCACACAATTTTCCATTTTAAACTAATTACTTGGTGCATAGTTCTCAACATTGCCCTCATTACCCTAGATCATTAGCAAAAACTGGCTGTAGATGCATTCTCCTTCTGACTCTATGTACCATCTCCATTTCTGGTTGGGTGAGCACAAATCAGCAGCACAAAAGATGCAGCAGTACAAGATCTTTGCAATCACACATATCCATAAGCAAATGTTTCCCCTTGATTTGTTTTCTCAACTTGATCCTCTGACATTCCTGATACAAACAGATTATACTGATTAGAGCACATGTGTTGGAGGTGCTACCTGGTGCTACACAGAGTTTGTTCATACACTCCCCATACAAAACATTCCAAAACTTTTGTTGCAGCCATTTCATGAATATGTACATCGTGGTACATACTGGAGGTGCAAACTAAAAATGTAGGACCATTCAGACACATCGGTTTTGCTAAGAGTAAGATCCGTTTCCAAAAAAAAAAAAAAACACCGGAGTCCCCACTCACGATGATGCCCTGAGGCTGGGAGACGAGTTGCCCACAAGTGGCTCACTCGCTCGGGCCTCCAGTCGGCACGAGGGCACAAGTGTCTCACCACTCCGAGCGACCTGAGTTAAGTTTGAGTTATCAGGTGTAATTAATGATTGTAAGTATTTAATTAATTACTTGACTTTTTTGATTACATGAAGCTACACAAGTAGTGCAACTTGCAAATTGACAAGCGATACATGACAATTTGATCGTTCGAGACATCGATTTTTAAATAGAACGAGATGTCACTTTGTTGCAAGTAGTAGTGTAGTGTAGTGTAGGGGGGGGGACCAGACTATAATAATGCGCTAGAAGAAGGGGCCGGTGTGAGTGGGGATGGTGTTCGAGTTTAGCCGGGCTTGAAGGAGAGGAAGAACTGCAACTTTTACAACTACATAGATTGTACAAGATGGAAAATGGTTGTTGTAACGATTTCTGAGAGAATCCACAGAAGTTGGCGGCCAAAGTTGGCCTGACAGCCCTCCCAGTACAAATCTCTAGTGCCACTTGTTCATGTTGTGCGTTCTTTACAGGTGGTAGTCTAAGTTGGGGGTCTTGGGGGTTCCCACAGGTCACGAAAGACGCCAGCCAGCCAGCCATCCAGCCATCCAGCCAGCCAGCCAGCTTGCAGTTGTGACCCACGCCTTGGTTGTATTCTTCCAAGAGACACTCTTCTCTGTTGAAGATACAGCCGATACAGCTCCAAAGCTAAACCACTCAGCCTTACGATCAACAGCAACCATCCTTCGCTCTCCCCACTGCAGCCATCCATCTCGTCTGGCTCCATTCAATTGCTGGCGATGACTCTTGGTCGATGTACAACTTCAAGCCAGTCTTCTTTTTTCCCCTCAGTTTCTGTGAATAAGTGAATGGTGAACAGTGCGTTGATCCAATCCTCGGCCTTCCTCCTCCATCTCTCTCTCCTCACCACCTGTTACCTAGACAGCTTGCCTTTGCCTTGTTACAAACCAGACTGTTCTTCTTCTTTTTTTTCTTTCTTCATTTATAGCTGACTGGGAAACACTGTCCTCTTGCAACCTTTTTTCCCCCTCCTCTCACATCCCAACTAGATTCGTCCGTCGTCAAGCTCCCTTATTGTAAACCAATAGCAACGAACACTAGCAACCTCTTATAACGCTCACTCCCCCCACCCCCTACCCACCCCCGGTCCTTTTCCACCTGCACTATCCATCCCATTACGCACACACACTCCACACGTCGGCCAAACCGATTCATTCGTATATACTCATATACACAATTACATAGAGTCGCTAGCAAGTTTTAACCGTATTAGTTGTCCCAAGGTCGGGTTGTCTGGTTGATTAACTGAGCGATCGAGACTGAGAAACAGATTCAAAACATACAGAGACCGAGCTACTTGCGAGCCTCTAGTGATCCGACGCTTTCATCTCAAAAACCCGGGCCTTTCTGTCTTCTCTTCCCTCCCTCTCCCTCCCCACCTTCTTATCCATACCTACTTCCACATTTCACTAGAATTCCCAAAGACTTTTTCGACCCCGCCCCCTAATCCTTCCTATATATTTTATTTTTATTATTCATAATTGCTCTATACATATCTATCAATCTCACCCAAATTTGTCTTCAGGCATAAGTGCGGACCTCACCTCCTCAATCTCACCCTCAATTCTCACTGTATCAAGAAAAACACACACATAAACAAGAAACCTGTCCCCGCCTACTACCACCAGCCTTCTACCTGTTATTCTATATAGCTGTTAGACCCCACTTCGTCAGCTGTTTTTCCCCCTTTTTTGTTGAGCTCTAATTAAGTAACCTCCTCTGCTCTTCCCACCCTTCGGCCTTTCTTGTTGTGATAAATCTTCTCACTTCGCCATCCAACTCGCGTACACCTTCCTCTACTCTCCACCTAACTCACTCTCCTCCCCCCTCTTAACATATAAAGTAAATATGCCGACTACTCGTCCTTCTGTCGCTGGGCCTGGTGCTATCGGCGATCGTGAAGGTGCTCGACGTAACAGCTGGGAGCCGTGGACTACAGATGTTGACAGCGCTCGCTCTGGCCAAGATTCGGGCCCGCAAACCATGTCCATCAAGGCAGCCGCCAGGCGTGCCTCCGAGTTCTCAGCGGGTGGCCGCACCCTCGGTGCTAATGGCAGAGGTTAGCCTTTATCCATCTTTTAACTCGATTCCCTCATTAACTCCTCACAATTAACAAGCCTTTACTAATTATTCTCAATCTGATCTGCTGTGTACATAGCTGCAGGCTCTCCTCTTGCCAGACACCGCCTTTCAGCCGTCGCCAACTTGAGTGTACCTGAAATCGGTGGTACTGGTACGAACTTCTCTGCCTTACGGCGCGCGTCCCAACCAGCCTATGTGCCCTTCTCCCAAGGAACCGACAACCTGTCCAATGGCATGAACTCCCTCTCCATTGGGAACGACAACCCACCCTCGACTCGCGCGTCCTTCACCGCCGGTGCTCCAAACTCAGCCCTTCGCAACACCGCTGCTTCTGCTCATCGTCCAAGCCTGCCAGGATTGTACAATAACTCAGTCCCCAGCCAGCCAGATGGAGGTTGGAACCCTTACTACTTCGGCTCACACGCAGGCGCCGCAAACCAACTTGGCTCCAACAACTCCAGCCACGACTCCCCCACCTCCTTGGAGTTGTCTGCCGCTGTTGCTTACGGACAAGGCTACGATTACCGTCGTGACTCTGGTTATGGACCCTCCCCGCCTATCGTCACCAGCTCTGACTCCCGACGCGACTCCTACGCTTCCCAAATGGCAGCCGCTACCGATTTGAACAACATCAGACGAACTCAATCGGCTTGGCACATTCACGATGCGTTTGCCGCTGCCCCTCAAATCAGACACTCCTCCTTCTCCTTCATGCCAAACCAGGCTTCAGGCCTTGGTGGAGCCGGGCTTTCTCATGGAATGCACGCTGGCGCTTACGGAATGGGCGCTAACGGTGCTGGAGGGTACGCCGGGCAGTTTGCTGGGGCCTACAACCCTTCCTTGATGTCCATGGATTCGATCATGAACAGCAGTCACATGCTCACTCAACAACATCTCTTAGCTGAGGCAAGACGCCAATCGATGAACCTTCAAAACCTTGAATTGAACGGCTACGGCAACCACCAATACGCCAACGGCGGTGCCTACAACATGCATCCTGCCGTCATGGCCGGCAACATGGGTCCACGAGGTGGACCAGCCCCCGTTAGCAACATGCCAGGCGGAAAACCTGCTCCGCCAACCCGCAACCACAGCACCGTCTCGCACAAGTCCAGCTTCGATTCAGGCCGTGTTTCCAGGAGTGCAGTGTTGGAAGAGTTCAGATCGAACAAGCACCGTCGCTGGGAGCTGAAGGTATGTCCGATTGCTTGAGATGCTTTGTCATGCTCGAGTATTCGTCCTGACTCTCCACGCTCACCCATCGTAGGATATGACCGGCTTGATTGTCGAATTCGCTGGTGACCAACTTGGATCCCGACACATTCAGTCCAAATTAGACACTGCCACCCCAGAAGAGAAGACTATCGTTTTTGAGGAGATTTACCCGCATGTGTTGCAATTGTCGATGGACGTGTTTGCCAAGTGAGTCATCATCATGTCACTCAACTCGTGAGACAAACATGCCTGACTGTTCATTACTATCGGTACAGCTACGTTGTGCAGAAGTTCTTCGAACAAGGCAGCGAGGCCCAGAAGGCCAAGTTGGCTGAGTCGTTGAGAGGACATGTCTTGCAACTCTCATTGCAGATGTATGGATGCCGAGTCATTCAAAAAGTAAGTCTCTCACCTCACAGTCGGATAGCTGGACGATATGGCTAATCGGTCCGACCCACCTTCTAGGCTTTAGAATTCATCCAAGTTCCTCAGCAACACTTACTCATCAAAGAGTTAGAGGGTGAAGTCATCCAATGCGCTAAGGACCAAAACGCCAACCACGTCCTCCAAAGGTCTTTGGAGCGCATCGACTGCAACGTCAATCTATTCATCAGTAAAGCCTTCACCGGACAAGCGTTTGCCTTGGCCACTCACCCTTATGGTTGTCGAGTCTTGCAGAAAGTCTTTGAGCACATGCCTGACGAACAGACCAAGCCCCTCCTTGAGGAACTTCACCGATTCTCTAACAACCTCGTTCGTCATCACCTCATGCCCCATCACTCATCCGCTGCTTTACTGACATCCTCTTCTCTACAGATGACTGACCAATACGGTAACTACGTTGCTCAGTGGATCATCACCGATGGCAAGAAAGAAGACGCCGCTGCCATGCTTGCTAAAGTTCAAGGTCAAGTCTTGCTCTTGTCTAAGCACAAGTTCGCTGTAAGTCACTCTTCTGTTCACCTCCTCTTCCACTGCCGAAACGCTAATTGTTTATTGGGTCGATTCCATCATCCAGAGCAATGTGGTTGAGAAAGCCATCTTGAAATCCACTGATGACGAGAAGAAAGAGATGATCGACGAAATCCTGGCTCCTCGCACCGATGGTACCTCGACCGTCGGGATCATGTTGAAGGACGCGTTTGCCAACTTCCCGTTGCAAAAGTTCTTGCAAGCTGCCAAGGAGCCCCAGCGAACCCAATTGTTTGCCGAAGTCGGCGAGCAATTGGCCGACATGAAGAAGTACAGCCTCTCTTACGGAAAATACTTAGTTGCCAGTACGTGATCCCCCATGCCCCCAATCATTGCCTGTTTTGTGAAACTGAGCCCGTCTGACTCTTTCCCTTCTTGTGTGTTTAGTTGAAAAGTTGGTCAACAACGAGAAGGCCAACGTCCAATTTAACACGAACATCTCTTTGAGCAACAGCCTCTCCAACAACATCGCCGCCAACATTCCAGCTGCCGGGCCGATCACCCCCTCGGTGACCCAGATCGCTGTCTAGAGAAACCCCGCCGGCTTGCGTGCTTGCTCTTCCGAAGAGACTGTTCCTAATAAAGTCTTCGGCACTGTTTGTCTTCAGCCGTCGACGTGCATAGACAATCCTTCATTTTTATTCTTATTTTTGATTAATTAATCCGTGTTCTTTTGTTTCCATTCATATCTTCTTTTTGTTTGTTTGTTCTACACATACTTGAAGATGAAGCTTGTAAGAGATCACACAACGCTTCTCGATATATACATCTACATACATACATACATACATATAACACTACCTTATCATCCCCTCCGATCCCTACATAGGCCGTGCGTTTCCTGTTCTTTTATTATGATCCGATCTCCTCTTCTTTAATATATGGTGGATTTCCTACCGGAGAGCGATGTTATTTATGTTTGCTGCTACACTATCTACTTGATTAGGCTCTTTCTCTTTTGTTTCTGATCTCTATCTCGAGATCGCCCTCCTTACCAATTTTTTTTTTTTTTTACTTACCCTTATTGTCTTCTATCTTTCCACCATCTCATGATTATTCACTTCATACATTTGTTCGTTTGTGCTCTTGCTTTATCATCAAGGAATTTCACAAGGATCATCTCTTTCAATAGCTGGATAATCTTGCCCTTGTTGTCCATTTGTTCATGTGTGCCATCACGTCCGTCCCTTACCATTCATCATCAATCATGAAGATACCCGGGAAGCAATAGAATCATTCTTCACTTCCTGCACATCTCTCTCTCTCTTAATTCTGCCTCTATCTAAGACCCGTCGAGCCCCCAACCAGGTGTCGCCTTCCTCAAAATAAGAAAAACCCCACTCTTGGCTGGAAGAGGCGGACTCGCTCCTCTCACCCACGGAAGGCAATGAAAAGTGGTTGGTAGGCGCCATCAAGCTTGAGACAAAGCAGCAGATTCACAAAAAGTCTCATAAAAACCTTCCTCTTCAATCTGTGACACATTCATTATAAGATTCGAATACCAAGTACATACACATGAACAGATAATGGTTGATGTGAGTGGCAGCCTGGGTGGCCGAGATTTTGGCGATCCTCGGCTGTGCCTCGGCTTCCAAAATGGACCAGTGAGAAGGCCCTGGGCCATATTGTCGATGGGTCCATGGATTTGTATCTGCAGGATCTAATTCGGACCACTGAAGGTTCAACCCACCCACCCCTGATTTGTTTCCTTGGTTGTTTCCCTTCGTGATGAGACCCATGGCCAAAATTATGCAGGAACATGAATTTCCTAAGGACGTCTAATTCTAGGTTTGTGTATGGACCATTGGCGTGGACTTACCAGCGCATGTGACCACTGATGTGTTGCACCAAATAGTGCACTCGTTTCGATGATTGGCCGATGAAGTGGTTGGTATCGATGAGACCGGCCCATCAAACACTCTGGGGCTTTATCGGCCAGACAGCCAATCGGGATGAAAGCGTGTCCGACAAGGGTCGGAGCTGTCCTTCACAAAGGCGTTTGTTTCATCCCAGTCGAGCTGCCGGCAGTCCACAGTCGGTATGCTCCAGAGATTCTTGCGGGCATTCGCTTGCTCAAGATGAACACTAGGATGGCCTGGGTCGATGACATGCAGATCAGATCTGTGAGGCAGGATGAAGATCCTTATATAAGACTGCTTATCAATTGGATCATCTGGACAGCTTATAAGAGTGGGACTCCTTCTTGTAGAATAAAACCACAACCGCTCATGATCGTCAAACAGAGGAAGCTTGTATTCAGCGAGGGCCGGAGTGACAGACTCTAGATCTCTCTAATCAACAGCTGACTCTTGGGCTTGGTTGGGAGTAAGGGTTTGCCTGATGATGGATGATCAGTACAAACGATTCAATGATACAAGAAACCTCAAAAAAAGGTCAACAAACATTTGATCATGATTGGCTTCTTCTTCTTCTTCTTCTTTTTTTCTCTTATGAAGTATAGTAAATGGGTAGGAAATGAAAGAAAACAAAACAACAATAAAGAAGCAAAACGATAAGGAATAGAGAATCAAAAAAGTCATCCACCAGCTTCTTCCCGGCCCAAGGGTAATCTGCATTCGGCAAGCTCGGGACCATACTTTCTTGACAATAAGAGGCACAGTTTTAAGTATCTAGAAAAGAACGGCAATGGGGGTGGGTGGAAGACTGATAACGATGGTGTGGATTTAGAAACCGTGGATCTAGAGAGAGAGAGAGAGAGATGGGAGGAAGATTCAGGTCAGTATGTTGTAGTCGGACGATTACGGGGTTGGCTGGATGGGAAATAACTCACCTTGATGGTCGCTTTGGCTGTGGTGTGAGAGGGAAGGTAGGAATGGAAGGGGTTTGAAAGATGGCAAGGTAGAGAAGGATACGAGTAAGGTCAGATTAGGATCTCAGGACGAATGAAGGATGAGGCAAGGGAGGGGGGAGTTGAGGGAAGACTGACGGATTCCAGCATCGACCAATAAGAGGGAGACCTTAGTGCGTTGATCGCCCTGCAACTGGATGACTTGGCCCAATTCTTCGTCGGGGACCAAGGTGCCATTGCAAGCAAAGTCTTTCTTGAAGGCCTTCAACAGCTTCTTGGGGTCATATTCAGAGGGCAAGCCTTGGATCGTCGTCAAGGTCTTTCGGCCGTTGCGTTGTTGGATTCGGATGTGCACGTAGTCCGGCGCTTTGGTCGAGGGTTGAGTGGTCGTGAATTGATCGTCGCCAACATCGGCGAAGGGATCTAGTGCAGTTTTCAAAAGGAGGTGGTATGTATCAGAAGTGGTGCACTTGACTGTTAGAATCCCGCTCAAGTCGGGCTTTGTTGTTGTTGTTTTTTTCTTTGGAGTGGATGGTGGACTTACCGCGAGAAGTTAGATTCTGAACGGACATGAAACGGTGAACGGTTTTCTAGTTCTTGCTTTTCAGGGATAGATTGAGTTTGAGGAGAACTTGATGAAGTTGTTGGATGACGATGGCTGGTGTTCGGGTGTTGTACGGTTGGAGGTGAAGTGCTGTGATGTTGGGGATCAAGAGCCAGGCTGGGCCGGGGAGGGCTTGAGAAAGATAAGCCCAAGGGGGGCTCGCACTTGGAGTTTTGTCAGGTCAAAAACTATAAAAACACCTTTTACATAAGCTTTGGGTTGCAACACAACCACTGCTTCATCAATCGTTGAACTTGAAGTGGTAGCGTAACTCTTAATCGATAGAGCTCGTCAAGCTGGAACGCTACGGGTAACAATGAGAATTTGAATGCAAGTCTGTCCTTACTCGGGCAAGGGCATCAATGGCGACCGAGGTACAACCCCTCCGACCTGGGCAACATAGTGTATTACATATGTAAATCAAGGAGAAAGCAAGGTCTATCGGAAACACGAACCCATTTGCTGTTTTGAGAGAGAACTGTGATTTGGGGGGTTGAATGGATCCAAAAAATCATCAAGGGAATTGAATGATGATTGAACAAAGTATTCCCTTTAATCAGATTCAGGCCATGATGTCCAGAGTGAACAGGCATATATAGGGCAAGCACTGATGATAAACTCTGATCTGAGTCTGACTATGACAAGATGATACCACTAGGCCTCTTTCAAGTCACAGGGGGGAGCAGCATTTTCTTCAATCCAGTGTCGTGGGATCAGCTCACACTTGTCATCAAGACAAAAGGTTACAGTAGTCACATTTTCATCAGTTGTATTAGGCCGGTTCACATCTGAAGTTCAAGGCAATTTTTAGCACACTTGTAGATAAAATTTGATGAATTTTGTCAACTCTCATGAATCATCAGGCTTGGAGGAATTTGAGATTTTTGACAAATTTGTAAAATTCTAATGGTAAATGTCATTAAATTTGCCTCAAAGTTCAGACATAGCATATCCAAACCCACATACAGTTGGTGAGGCACAAGTCACTTCATCCAAAGGCTGACGGGCCCCTTAACAGATATGTAATCAGATTATTTGCTGTGAAAATCAATTGCTTTTAGCCTTTCTTTTCTGTATATCACACTGTTATGAGCTGTAGAGGACTGGAACTGGGGACGTTACATATGTAGAGAGCCTGTTACGTACATGTCACAAACTTCAAACTTGGAGTTCGTTCGAGATCCGAACCTTGTACATTCCTCATCTTGCAATCTACCATTAAGACTCAGAACCCTGAAGATCCATCACCTGCTCTCCCCAGAACACTCATAACATATTGCAAGATCAACTCACACGGAGACCAGGAGCAAAACACCCAGAACACCACCCCTCAAACCTTGAAAATCAACCCTGAAAACTCACCTCTCAAACCTTGAAAATACTCCCCTTGAACCTCTCTCAAACCTTGTCTATCAACCTTATTACTCACCCCTCTCCCTCTTTCACACCCTCACAGACCCCTCAGGACCCCCCAGGAACCCCTCAGGCCCCCCAGGAGGTTGTTTTTTGCGTTTTTTCGTCGGATCGTTTGGTTTTTTCGTTGGATTGTCTCAGGGCCCTCGGAACACGCCCAGGACCCTCGGAACACCCTTGGATCATTCGGATTAGGCCTCTGAATGCTCAGAGACCCCCCAGAACCCCTCCAAGTCCCCCCACGACCCCGGATCGTCGTTGGACGACCCGGATTGACTCGGATCATCGTTGGACGACCCAGGGAGACCCCCCACACCCCCGACCGCTCCCCAAGGCTCCAGCAGCCTTCCAAACACCTCCCGAGGCCCCTACGGTGCAGCGAAGCGCCCCAGGACGCCCCAGAGCGGCCCTAGAACTCCAGAGACCCCCCCAGCGCGCCCCAAGGCCCCCAAACAACCTGCCAGAGCGCCCCAGAACCCTCAAGAGGCCCCTCAGAGGGCCCCACAGCCCCACCAAGGCCCCATGGACCCCAGGAAAAGAGGAAGTGGAGGACTTTTAGACCCCCAAACCCCCCTGTAAGACCCCTGCTCACCCCAGGACCCAAGAGAGGACACCCAGGCCCTCAGAACCACCAGAACCCCCCGTAAGAACCCCAGACCCCCCATAAAAACCCCTGAAAGACCCAAGACACCCCCCAGACACCCAAGACCCCCCCCAAGACACCCCAGATCCCCAAAGAGAGCTCACACGAGCCGTTTGGCAAGGCGTAAAAGTACAAAAGTAAGCCTCCACAATTTTAGTTGCACCTTCCGGACTCCGGAGTCACTACACACTGTCAAAGCATTACCTGCCACTCTGTGAGCCGCCCCGCACTATTTCGCTATGAACGTAGACCCAAAGGACGCCAAGCTTGCCGAGGTTCAGGCGCAACTGGCCGAAATCGTGACCATGGTCAACAAAGAACGCAAGGCCAGGAAGGAGTTAGAGGCACGGTTGGCCAAGAAGGAGGCCAAACTGATGGCGACCGTGGAAACCGCAAGCTCCAACCGTGCCGGTCAAAGGCCCCAAGATTGGCGCCCCCGACAAGTTCGACGGCACTTGTGGAGCTAAAGCGGAGGTTTTCATAAACCAGGTCAACCTATACGTACTGGCCAATGGACACCTGTTCAACAAACACCGCGCCATCATGGTCTTCATCCTGTCCTACTTAACTGGCCCGGTGTAAGACTCAAAAGTGGTTATGAAACCCTTTTGCTGAATGGAGAAGGGTATGTTGGAGTTGCAAGCTCTGCCCTTCTATACTATCAGAATAACAAGACCACCAAGCTTAGCTTGGCAATTTTATATATAGTGATAGGGATAAGTTCGAGATGAAGCTGCTGATTGATATGTGTGAGGTATAAAGATGTTGTTGACTGTTGGTTATATTGATGAAGTTGTTTGTTGATGGATATGGTTCAGGGCACTTTTGGTTTATGATGATGATGAAAGTGTTAAATCTGTATTTCAATGTGTATAAATCTGTAATTGTAATGTGGCTATGACTTGTAGTTATGAAATAATATATAAGGTGTATTTATTTATAAGGGTGGTTGAGATGATCTGGTCCACTGGTGGGATGATGGACACCTGGTGGGATGCTGGAGGGAACAACTGGCAGGCAGAGGCCTCCTTATATAGACAAATGTGAGGGATTTTGGCCCCAGGGTACAGGCTGAAAGATACTACTACAAAGGGATGCATATAAATGAATAAAGGGACGCATATGTATGATCAAAGGGATGCATACATGCAATATCACTAATACAAAGGGATTCAAAATAACGTAAAGGTATTCAATTTACTACAAAGGAATCCAGTATGCAATATGCATCCTGTATTCATAATGGCTATGGCTAGAGTGCAGAATCCAAGAAATATCCCGTGACAGGTTGAAATACGTGTAACTTCTAAACTATAAGAGATAAGGGTATGGTTGTAGTGGGTGACTAGGGGTTATTTTACCTGAGGATTCCATTTTTGATGTCATTTTTACCATATCTTGAATGAATAAAGAGATAATAAGAAATTTTTATATTTTCTGCATAGAAACACAGTATTATTTACCACACCAGTGTGGTATACCTTAAGGGTAGCCATCTGGCCCATTTAAAAATTTTACAGTTTTTTCTTTTATTACAAATTACATACTTTTTTACACCTTTTTTCTCATATATACACTCACAAATCACCCAATATGGCTCAAGAACGGGATTCTACAGTCAATTTCAACCTTGGTCACCACTGGAGGCGTCACTGGAACTCAACTGGATTGGAAGCTACACTCTCTGGACCATCACCACACTCAATTACACAACTCACCACCATGACAACACTTCAACACTCAACACCAACAACAAATTACATCATTCACACCACACACATGCACGTTGCAGGACAACTACATACTCACATCATTATAGTACAGGTATACACACAACTACACTATCTTCTGACACTTGATATATGTAGCTTCTAGGCTGGTCCTGTTGCTATGTCACTTGTTAATCTTCCCTGCAGCTGTCAGACTATCTCACACCACTCATGTAATACTCATCACCTCACCTCAGCTTGCAGACTAGTACATCACTTCATTTAAAATGCTACACCAGCATAAAACCCTCATGTAGACTTCTAGTTCAAGCTAAAATAACTCTTATGACATCATGTAGGTTGCTCCACCAGCCAAAATACCTCATGTACATGTTCTGACTAGCTAAATCCCCTCATTGTAAAGCTCTGGCCAGCTAAAATCTCTCATTCTCTTGTTCCTCTGAAGCTAAAATCCCTCACCTTTGTGTATTTAAGAGGCTCTCCTCTCAGTTGTTTTCCCCTCAGTTTAGTATCCACCTATTTCACACCCCCTACCCTTACAAACCCTTACATACCATTACATACCATCCCCTTACCATTGAAATATCAGCTAGACTCACTCTCTCACTCTCAAATCAACCTTTTAGACCCTTATAAAACTGGGTTAAACCCTTTTTCCACCTGTTAAGCCACAGTTATCTTTTGATACACTCCACTATCACTTTATTAAACCTTCCAATCTGAGATTGGTGGGCTTGTCTAGTGTCTAGTGATCCAGGAAAGGCAGAGGTATCCTCATTCATCCCTTTCCACACTCAGCAAAAGGTTTTCACAAACACTTTTGAGCTTTACACCGGCCAGCTCGTGGGCCCAACCGTGGATGAGGAAGGTGATGTGCGCAACCGAGACTATCAAGCACGACAATTTTGTCACCCAGTTCAATGCCATGTACTGCGACACCGAGAAGAAGACCAAGGCTGAAGCGGCCCTCCGCGCGCTCAATCAGACCAAGTCGAGTCTTCTGCCACATAGTGCTTGAGTATTCCATTGTGGCAATGGTGGGCCGCTACGCTGCACTACAAAAAACTGCCCACTAATGTTAGTGTAGGGGCCCTCAAAACAGCGTGCTAAACCTATAGTGTTAGCGCACCGTTAGCACCACTACGCTATGTTGTGCTGCGCTACAGCACCTTTAGCGGCAAAAACAGCCCAAAAGCCACTAAAATGTGCTGTAGTGCAGCTTAGTGGGCCCACACACATATTGTTAGTGCAGTTGTGGCGGAATTCCACTCGCGCCATTAGCACCACTACACTATGTTGTGCTGCGCTACAGCGCCTTTAGCAGCAAAAACAGCCCAAAAGCCACTAAAATGTGCTGTATTTCAGCTTAGTGGGCCCACACACATAGCATTAGTGCAGTTGTGGCGGAATTCCACTCTTCTAAGGTTAGTGTAGTGGCCCACTGTTGATTGTGGCATTTCACTGTGAGTACAGTTTCAGAAATGAAAAACCAATCCTGCCCACAAAATACAAAATTGAAACGTGACCCCACAGTATACCAATCCACTTTTTAAATAAAATTTTGACCTTTCACAGGTGTGTAGAGTTCCAAATTACAAGCACTAGAAGAATATGCACATTGGTTGAGTGGATTACATAGAGAGGATTGGCAAGCTTGCTAATCCAAGATTTAGTAATGTATAATCTTGATACACCCTAACTCCAAACCTGACCCTGGAACTAAGTTTAATCCAATCTAATCTGAGCCGGTGTGGTGTGGAGAATTAGATTAGTTGGCTGATCCCGCCTAATCCATGCACCTATGCAGATGCTTTAAGGTTTTGAGCAAGTGGTTCAGTTTATTTTTCATTTCCACATACATACATACATTTTATCAGACAAGCGTAGGTTAAGCCATACTTAAACTTATAATCATGGGTTTAAGTAAGGCATATCGATGGCCCTATACTACTTCCACACCCTAACACTTCCAAAGCAATTGTGTCAGATAGCTGTATCTGTGATCATATCAGATATTTTTGTGTGATTTTAAATCAGTTCAAATGTCTGATTTAATGCTTCAAAATTACATCAGACAATTGATACGATGAAATATAACATGGAAATATCTGATATAAGCACTGGTAAAGCTATCTGACATAGTTGCTTTTGCAGTGTATATAAACATCTGCTTTCACTGTTAGTTCACAATTCTAGTGTATGTTTTCCTGGAGGCCACAAACAGCCCAAAAGTCTGAAAATTTCAAAAAAAAGCTCACCTCTGCAACTGTATATCTTATAACCAGGCTGAGACTTGTAAACTCTGACCCCCAAGGTCTACACAGTAATACTGAAGCCAATCCTACTTGGCCTCCTTTTGGTTGATCTTTGATCCTTTTTGTTTTTCAAGTTTATCCCTTGTAGTCATTTCCACCAATTGAACAAGTGCATACTTTTAACACGGCTTGCAATAAGAATGAAGCATTCATCATATAACAAGAAATATAGAACAACCTATTTGTGAAAGAATATGTAATTATCTAATGTCTACTATCATTAATCTCTGTCGAAGCCATGCTGAATTCTAGTTCAAATCATTAATATTTTTGTTTCTACAATCTACATTGTCAATTCAAGTACCATTCATGAGGGTGAAACAGTCCAGACACCATCAGGCATGGTTGCTTCAGAAATAAAATACGATATCAAAAGAAATTGTTTCAGAATTCCATAGCTTGATTGGATGACTTCCCCCAACGCTGCCACAGACACGGTATCTGCCCGTATCTGCCATGTATCACTATGTATCTGAGCCCCAACAAAAAAAACTATCTGACCAATCTGCTTTTATTTGCAAGGAGATTCAACAAATTTGGTTTTTGGCCATGCAGCTTTGCAGAATTCTCCATGATACACACAGCGTATCATATCTGTGGCAGCGTTGCTTCCCCTCAACATCTGCGGGTCTCCCAGTTTCCATTTAGAGCCCAAAAAGCTAGATTTACCTGCAAAAATCTAGACTTTACGGGTATAAACAAAAACTGTGAGGGTCCCAGATCCGACGGGAAGTCCTCCATTGTCCTTCCTTGCCTATAGCCTTTTCTGAATAGAACCACAAATTTGGGCTGAATTATGATATGCAAGAGGTTTCATCAATAATTTTGTCAGCCTTGAGGTATATACATACCCATAGGCCTCAAAATATAAAATAATAAAAATAACAATCACAACTCATAGTCAAGTCTCAAGACTAGCCCAAGAAAAAATATTATAAATAATAAATTAATATTAAGCATAAAAATCTATATATAAAAGTATATATGGTCAAAAGCCTGCAAATGACCACAAAGGCCTTTAAAAATAAAAATAAACTTTTTTACTTTACTTAGAAAATAAAAACAAAATTCATGTAGTTACATACCACTGTGTAACTACATACTCAAAAAACAAAGAATTCTGTAAAATAATCAATAACTAAAGAGTTACAGACATTTAAAGTTACAGAACCAAATCAGCTGATGACATAAACAAAGTTCATTGGATGCGAACTCAAGATAAACAAGGTTCCAAGGCTTGTGCAACATGTACAACCTTGTAGCTCATCAACTATAACCAAGTGACCAGTTTAGACCACATATTCTGAACCCTGACCAGCCACTTGGTCATGTAACCTGTTTTGTTTATCCCTAACCTTAATAACCTTTCTGAGCAAACTCAGAATATCCTCTTACATCAGCCATCCACCAGAACAACCCTGGTCCAGTTTGAAATCAACAGGGTTGAGAATTGGCCCATTTCAATCTGGCCCAAGTAGTTCAACCTGTTCTGAGCCAGTACATATCAGAACACCTCAACCAAATCCCTCCAAAATGGATTGGAGACGAAAAAAAAAGTCTCCTTTGGGCATATAGAACCCTAGCAATAACTTGGCATTGCATCATTACTTCCTGACTGGGTAGCTGTACCCGTGGTTACAGTTACAACTGTTTCAGCCTTTGGGATACTGATAACCAAGGCCTTGGGCATGGCTTACACCCAGCCAAACAAACCCAAAGCATCAGTGTCATCGTGCAAAAATGCACTGCAAGCCACCTTCAGGTGTGTGGCTATATAAGGACTCCTTTATTGAGTGCTTAAACCTCAGAAATTCACCCACTTCACCATATATACTACTATATACTTGAAGCCAGCATTTCCAACCATTTCTTTTATCAACCTTAGCATTCCAACCACGAAACAGAGCTCCTCTTTTACTGCTACCTTCAGCCTTAACCTGTAGCCTTTGCCCTTAAAAGATCCCAGCTCCTTATTCCTTTAAAATTGGCCATTTTCTTACTTTCTGTTGCAGAAGTATTGCTCTAGAAATTGCCCAGGAATCCTCAACTCATCCAAAAGACCTTTTTGGACGAACTCCTTGTGATCTATTGTCTAACAAACAATTCACCCTTCCTCAATTCCTCCTTTGGAATTCAGAGTATTGATTAAAACTCAACTCTAGGCCTCTTAACAAGTAATATTGTGAGGTTATAATTTCTTTGATTGTTTAACCAACAATCCCTTCTTTTTGTAAGTTTAAATACACTTTAAACTTTAACATTTAATAAAAAATTACTAACAAAAAATTATTAGGACAGGAATAGTACTAGAATTTCCTTCTAGTTTCATATCCAGACCTTACATTTGGGGGCCTCATCCGGTTTTTTACCCAAAGACCATATTTTCTTTTTTCATTTTTAGAACTTTTCTCATCTAGAAAAAAGCAAATTTTTTGCACAAAAATCAACTAAAAATACAAATAAAACTAACCTAAAAACTTCCATAAAAAGTACGGTTATTTTCCATTTTTTTTTTCTTACAAAATCTCATTAAAAAATCATTAAAAACTAAAAATTAATCACGATTTTTTTTTTCTTTTTTCAAAGTGAGCAACTTTGAAGCACAGACCCCTACCACTGAAGCTCCTAGCCCTTCAGTTCTTTCGGAAATATCCACCGATACTAACAAGGAAGAACCTACTCCCTTCAACCCTGTCGTCGAAGGATTATTCAACCAAGCTAACAACCTGCTCGAAAGCGTTAACTTAGCTGCGGACAGCGGATTACGTAAGCCTAACTCATCAGCAATGTCCCCCTCCACTAGATCCGGAAAAACTTACTCAGAAGCTTCCTCAATAACCAGTAGCCGACGATCCAGCACGACTAGGAGCGTCAGTGGAAGAAAACCCCGAAGCACCGCGCAAGTCGACGCCGACCCCATTGGGGGCGGACAAGATCAACCCACCGCCAAAGGACTTAACCCCTCCTCGATCAAAGAAGGAAAAACCCGCGCCGAAATCAACCTCGCCGGAACCGTCCAAGTTGATAGCCAAGAAGAAAGCCGCATCGTCGACTCCCAAGATATCGCCGACGAAAAACGCCGCAAAACCATCAGCGTTATTCGTCCCATCAAAACCACCGACAGGGCTGATCTCGACCCAACCATCATCAGAGAAGGCCAGGAAGAGACAGACAATATCGGTGGTGATACCAATGTCGACTTCGTCGAGGAAACCAACGCCGATGTGAGAACTCCTTTGGGAATGGTGGCAGTCCTGTGAGGGGGAAATAGCAGATGAGATATATCACGTATGTAATGATCTACTACAACTGTTACGGCTGGTTTGAAAGACCTGCCCCTCTATTGTACTACACTAGAGTTAACACAACAATTTATTTATTGTTGTGGCAAGAACTGATGATAGAGAAACTATGTGTAGCAGTCTCTTATCAAACCTAGATCAACGTGGATTCAGCAGACTATTCGAGTGGAAATGTTGAGTAAGAGATGTTTTTTTTGTTTATATGTTTATGTGTTTTGAAAAATGATTGACGTATGTACTGATGATGAATGTGAATCTATGAGATGATAGTGAGGAAAAATGTGACTATTGACCGTGTCTTTCCCTTCCTCCTTGAATCTTGGTCAAGAGCACAATGGTTTAAGATCACTGTCTCTTGTTTAAGATCACAAGTTGTACTGGTTACTACTTTCTTTCTCCTATGCTTCTCAATGTCTGAATGATCTCAATGGGGCACTTTGATTAAGATCACACTGGTTAATGTATAGATTGATTGCTCTGTTCTGTCTGGTTGATGATCAGATGAGATGATGAAAAATTGGAATGAGGGGGGGAAAGCCCCTCCTTAAATAGTCTATTTTACAACCCGGCTGACTTGTGGTTCTAGCCCTAACCTATAATCTATAAATGGCCAACTTGTGGTTCTAGCCCTAACCTATAACCTATAATTTATAAATGGCCAGCTTGTGGTTCTAACCCTAACCTATAACAAATATGCATAAAATCCGGCCAAATTGTGGTTTTGCTATCTATACAAGATTCTCTGTGTACCTACATAACAATGTGGCCAACCTGTGGTTACCCTATGCAATGAATATTGAATATGTAAACAAACTAAGGCCAACTTGTGGTTTGCATTATGCAATAAGCATTTTTTATGCAAATAAAACTTAAATCCCAAATAACTTTTGACTGAGTGGAGCTAGACTATTGGTTCCAGTGAGTGACTATGGGTTAAATGACCCGTAGAATGTGATTATGCCATAATACGCCTAAGAATATATGCCTTTCTACATATTGGACTGTGACTTTATGCAATTTGATACTTGAAACACAATTGGCATACTACATCCTCCCCCAACTTAATGCTGTCCGCAGCATTCCTGTTTCAAGTATCAAATTTCCCAGACTCCAGGAGTAGTACTCTAATTTTGGACGTATGCACCACCATTACCTATTTAATATACAAGCTCCGCCCCCTCTTATGCCGTAGAATTGAACCTTGCAACCCTTCCATGACCAGTATTTACCAAGAGTCTCACACACCAATTCCTAGATATCACTGATCCCATCAGATGTACCCCAAAACTATTGCCCCCATGAAAGTTCCCTTGAACTCATGGCTCTTCCTCTGATAGTAACTAATCATGAAACCTGTGCCTTTATCTCTTCCTTGATCATTTGAGTTGACTGTGATTGTATTTTATACAGGCAATCTGCTTGGCCTATGCCCAAATTATTCTTCAAATTTCCTGTATTGGCCCCTAAAATCCCAATTTGAGCAGCACTATATTCCTGGCCTATAAATCAGCCATCCTCATTTACGTCTTCTAATCCCTGTACACTCCCTTCCCCATCATCTTCCCCTTCTGACTCGTCGCCCTCTTCATACAACTCTCCTCGGGGATAAAACTTCTTGACTTGATTTGCTGCGTACCGTCTGGCCAATTTAGTGCCGTCCAATTCTTCAAGCTGATATGGTCCCTGCATGATTTGTTCCACCACCCTATATGGCCCGTTCCATCTATTCTTGAATAGCAATCCCCACTGATTTTCCAATGCCTTGTTATAAACCAATACTAGATCTCCGGGTTTGAGCGGCTCTCGTCTCCTATGTGCCAGCCTCTGATCCCAATATTTCACTGAATCTCCTCTAGCCTTTCGTAATTTTTCCTCTGCTTGTGCAATATTTTCATCCCTCTGCGCCAATTGGTCTGCCCTTATACTTAGCAATTCCGCTGTGGTTTTCACTTGTGTCCAATCCACGCTGAGGTAGCTTTTTAATTCCATATCTACTGGTAATACTGCCGGCTGTCCAAATTGAAGCTCAAAAGGGGTGTATCCTGTAGTTCTTTTGGTTGATATTCTATCTGCCAAAGTCACTAGGGGTAGGTACTCCTTCCACTTTTTCCCATTTTCCCCGCACATTTTAATAAGCGCATCCTTTATTTCTTTATGTCCTCTTTCCACCATCCCTTGTGCTTCCGGGTAATACGGTGTGACAACCCTAAGTTTAATCCCAGTTTTCTTCATAGCTGTTTGTAATTCTTTCTTGAATTCTGCTCCTCCGTCCACTGTTACCTCCTTTGGAATCCCATATCTGCAAACCCACTCTGATACAAACCATTCTGCAATGGAGCTTGACCGGAGATTTGTTAACCCCACAGTTTCCGCCCATCCGGAAAAATCATCTCTAGCAATTATAATATACTTCCATTGACCCGATTTTATATGTACCGCATCCATGCTTACCCGTTGAAATAGAGTTGATGTTACTGTAGATTTTCCCACTTCCTTGGGCAAGTCTTTATTCCTCTTTTGGCAGGCTTCACATGTCTTCACCCATTTCTTTACCATTGTTTTCATTCCTTCCCACCAAAACCTTTCTTTTATCCTCCTGTATGTTTCCAAAACTCCTCTATGTCCTAAGTCCTCATGCAAAGACTTGAGTACCTGAGCCTGAATGTGGGGGTTTGAGACTACTACCTGGTTGTAGGGTATATTCCTTCTTTTAAGCTGACCCTCCTCCACGAAAAACAACACTGATCTCCGCTTTATTTTTGTAAATTCTTTATCTTCACAGTTTTGCGGCCTTATCCAAGTTTGCAAGTATTCTGACATCTTATTCCAAAACTTTGTATGTGTGTTTGAATCTATCCCCACTCCTAGTGTAGTAAGATTAATTTCTTTTGCACCAAACCCTGGGTGTGGAGTTACCCATGCTTCCTCCTCATCAAATTCCTTTAACTCCTCGTCGTCATCTGGCATTCTCCTTGATAAACTATCCGGCATTGTAAAAGTTTTTCCTGGCTTATGTACCAAGTCAAAAGAGAATAATTGAATAAAAGCTACCCATCTTGTCATAGGCGCAGTTGGGAGGCTTGGTGTATTGATCATCTCTATAAGTGCCTTGGCGTCCACTTGTAATTCAAAATGCTGGCCCCACAGAATTGTTTGTAATTTCTTCAGAATCTTTGCTACCCCACAAAGCTCTAATTTTGCCTGCGAGTACTCAGATTCCCGCCTTGAAAATCCAACTGATTCATAAATTACTGGCCTGTACACTTTGTCCTTATCTTCCTGCATGAGCACCGCGCCCGCAGCAATGCAGCTGGAGTCTACAGCTAATGTCACCCTTCCAGCCTTCTCCCCATACTCTAAATTTTTTAATACTATTTCCTCCCCTACAATCTTCTTTAATTCTTCAAAAGCTTCCTGACACCTTTGATCCCAGGCAAATTCTACGTCATCCCTGGTAAGGCGCCTGAGTGGTGCAGCTGCTGTAGAGAAATTTCTGATAAACATTCTGACGTATACACAAAGCCCCAAAAAGCTACGAATGTCCTTCTTGTTTGTAGGTGTTGGCCAGCTTTGGATCTTGTTGACTTTCTGTGTTGACATTATTCTTCCAGCCTGAGATACCATGTGCCCTACTATGTCCAGAGCGGGAACACAGCACGCAAACTTTTCCCCTGATATGGTGAGGCCTGCTTCCTCTATTCTGAATAATATCCTTTCCAATGTTACAGCATATTCCCACACAAATTTCCTGATTTCTTTATTTTCTTTCAATTTTTCATTATTGTATGTTGATTTTGGCCCTTTTATTCCCCCATCATCAATAAAAATTCCCACGTGCTCTGGTATTTCTTCTTGGAGAATCCAAACCATCTGGGCTTGATAGACTGCCACAGAGTTTGTTGCACCCTGGGGAAGTCTTGTCAATTGTAGCCTTCCCAAAACTGTTTCAAAAGTTGTGAGGGGCCTAGATGCTGGGTCCAGTTCTCTTTCATCATATCCGCCCATAATGTCACCCAATCCGTAACATGCCCTTCCTGAGAATGAATCCACAAATTCTTCAATCTTGGGCGGCAGGCCCGCATCCTTTATTGTTACTTTATTTAGCACTTGAAGATCATGAACTATTCGAAGCTTTCCATTTGACTTGGTTACACAAAACACCGGGCTGGAATAACTTGATGTTGATTGTTCATACAATCCGGTCTTAATCCTCTTTCTCACTAGCTCTATGAAATCTGGCAATATGGGTTTGGGAATTGGTATTGGCCTCTTTTGCCAAGGGTCGTGCGCTATCACTGGTATCTTGTATGGCTTGCCATAAGAATGGTGTAGTAGGCCCCTCTCTTCTTCACAAAAAGCCACAGATTTCTGTCTTAATACTATTACATGTTTTAACAGACTTAATTCCTCTTCAGAAAGCCACCCTGGGGGTCCAAAATTTACTGCTTTTAGTCTTTCATGTGTAATTCTCTCAGTTGGTATGAATTGAGGAGGGTGAGGTGTCAGTGGAGTTTTGTAAGGGTCCCTTGATAAAGGGGGCCTTTGGAGTGGGGGGTTTATGTCTTGTGGCATTGGATGGTTGATGGGTCTAATCTTTTTGTCCACTGTTTTGTACTTGGCTGCTAAAACCTGTTTTTCCATGATGGTGGGGCTTAACAATTTCACTTTTTAAACCCTTTTTATTTTTTATTTTTTTTTTATGGGGACTTGCCGCAGTTTAAGGTCATACAGCAGGACCAATCTATCCACTCTAGAAAAAAACTTGTGTCACATATCCGTGTGTCTTTTGCGTCCCCCATATCTCTTTGTCTCCTCCCTTTTTTTTTATTTATTTATTCTATTTATTCATTTGTATATATATATATATATATATATTTTATTTTATTCCTTGTGCATTTTCTTTGTTCCAGCTTGTATGGCCTGACCTGAAAAACGGCTCAGATCCAGGATGTCGTGATCTCACACGGCCCAAAGTGAAAGCAGGTTGCAATGCATACTTGTGCACTTCCGATATCGTCAAGCATCACGACATTCGTCCGTTCAGGTCGGAATTCAACCAGAACCCCCTTTTTTGCCTTTAACCAAACGCGACCATATCCTGAACCTAGTTGCCGGCCCGAATTCCTCCATTGACTTGCCCAAACATTCCGCCCGCCGATTCGCAGATTCCTACTCGGCCCGATTTCCCTTGGAATACGACCACCGTGTAAGCTCCAACGCCGATTTTTTTCTAGAGCCTTCGCGCTGGCCGAATGCTCATTAATCTCGGTAATGTAAGCCTCAATAAAACTTATTCTTTCCTTCTCTCTCCATCAGAATGAACTCCATCTCATGACTTGAACGCATCTAAATAATAAAACTGCTTTCATCTGGCCGCCAACCGACTATCCCCCCCCCGGTACTTGTTCATAGTACCACATGTACGATCCTTAATCCGGCTCTCTAAACCCTCAGATCGAATTTCTACTCCTCGACCTTGCCTGCTACGTTCCCCTATCACTGCCCTTCTCGTCCAAACCACCGTATCCTCTTATCTCTCCCAACTTATGCAGATATCACAACACAACACTGCCAGTGTCGATCCTATTCAGAATCCGCGCGCTTGTTTTGGTACGCTGGCCGAGCATAGTTTTTCCGATGGCTTGTCCTTTCGTTTCTTCCCTTCAACCTTTCCGATCGGTCGGACGACTACAGCACTTGCTCAGGATTCGCTTGCCGCTCTTGGGATCCCTCTTGACTATAAAAAGGTTGGTCACTGCTCCCCCTTTTTCCTTTGTTCCGTAGTACTGATCTATCTTTCCCCATCTAAAAAAATGGACTCTCCCCCTCCTCCTCACAGTTACTACTCAATCTCTTCTGACCACTCCCCTACCCAATCATTTGATGAGGACGGTGATTCGTTCACCTCCTTTGGCTCCATTCGAACTCCTCCCCGTTTGAGAGAGATGATCCGTTCAATCTTCGACGGTACTCTCAACTGTAAGCACATTTCCTTCCGCTTCATTTCGTTTTGTTAGACCCAGCTTGACTAACATCCCTCCGCTCGCCTCTAGCGCCCATCCGTTCCTTTCCAGATTCTGATTACGACGATGCCGGCTCTCCTCTCGAAAGAGTGACCGATCACCGTAAGCATCCGTCTCTTTTTTATGCTTCGTTATCCTGTTGTGCTCTGCGTAGACTGATCTCTTCTACCCTCCGCGCAGTCCCCGCGGCGATCGTCGCGGAAGGTCTTAACGAAGGTAAGCCTTATAATCATTCCACCCATCTGTGATACATATTCTCAAGGCTAACGATCGCAGTTGGTCTTCTTCTAGGCGAAACCTTTGGCGATCGTCGAGCTCACTTATTAGCTTTGATCACCCCTCCGACGTCCGATGGAGCACCTATGATGTACTCGTCTGATCAAGATGGCGAGTACGAACTTGACGATTGTACGTGTGTGTTCTCACGTCCACCTGTACTCGCCACATACTGATCTAGTTATTACGCTCTTACTTTAGCGACCACGGCGTCTAACCAAGACGTTGAACCTGACCATCCACCCGTTATCGTTGGATCAGACGATCCAAACGGCTTCCGCTATCTTCCTGCTACTACGAATGGTGGGTAGCTCCCTTTTTTTTCCCGTTTAACGCCGAAAGCTGACGCGCGCAGTGGGCTTGTGCTTAGGCGAAACCTTTGGGGACCGCCGCGACCGTCTGCTGGCCGCGCTTGCACCCTCAATCCCTGGTGGCACCTCTGCTGCGTACTCGTCCGTCCAAGACGAAGAGTATGAGCTCGACGACTGTGCGTATCCCGTACTCCTCCCTACTTACGTCCGACTGTAACTGCCTATCCTGACTGAGCTTTATTATATATTCTTTTATTCTAGCTATCGCCGCCGCTACCGCAGGTGTTGATCCCGACTATCAACCTTTAGATGTTGCAGAGGCTGTCGGGTCCCCTGACCCGAATGAAAGCACGGTATTCCTCATAGACCCTAGCTTACAGGTCCCATCCAACACCGATGACCGAGATGATATAGGTATGGGTAATCTGACTAGTCCTTCTTGCTCCCTTTAGCAAACTCAAACCCCATCCATTGTCCTTGTCTTGCTCTCTCTCCTCAGACTCTGTCTTTTCCTTGCTTGATCCCGATGAGGATCCAAAGGATACTACTTATGTCCCCCCTAAGAAGAGCAAAAAGGCCTACTCCGGTAAAACCCGCTTTTCTGGATCCTTTTTAGCCAAGCAAAATCCTGCCTTTGTTCGCCCAAGAGACTCGAAAGGTCGTTTTGTATCCCTCCGATCTAAAAGTAAGCCATCTGGTACTCTCTATCTTATGGCTAGCTGATCATATTCTAACTCTACATATCCTGTTTTTTTTTTTTTTTGTTCCTTTATAGATTTAGGCAAGCTGAAGGCTGCTAGCGTCGATGACCAGCCCCCCCAGTCATCGTCATCTTCCACTTCTCTTCCCCGAGCTGTGGTGGATTCCGGTCATCCTCACCTAACCGAAACGGCCCTGAACACTTTCCTCAATACCGTATTAATGTCCCCCGATGAAGCTTTTCCTTTATCTTTTCATCTTCCTGACCCGTTTGCGGCTCACTTCTCTCTTGCTGGCCCTTCCGTTTTGGGGACTAATCCCTTCATTCCTCCTACCCCGTTTATACATATGCGTCCTGATGATCCTCGTCTTCAATTCCGAACCTCTTTTGTTGATCTCCTCCGGGTCATTGTGCCCTTCCTTTCCAACTTCACCCCTTCCCCTGATAATCATGAAAACTTTAAGTTACTTAACCATGCAGTGGTTGCTGCACAAGACTGGTACATCCGGTCACATCACTTATAGTAAGTTTCTCTTTTTTTTTTACAATCATTGCATAGCTCGTGTATACTAATGTACAAACATGCTGTTTTTCCATACTTGTCAGCCCTGATGTGGCAGACCATCAGTTACAGTTTGATCAGTACTAGCCCTTTTCTCTTGCCTTCTTTTTGGCATCTTGTATTTGTAGCTCTTTATTTATCTTCTTAAAAGAAAAAAACTAAAAAGACTTTTCTCTCATCCAAATCTTGCCTCCCTGTTTTTTTTTTTTTTTTTTATAAAAATACAAAGTACAAAAAACCTGCCTCTCTGTCCCTGTCTTGTCTCTCTTTTTTTTTTTATATATGAGGAAATTGTAAACTTATTGATTTAGTTTACTTAAGTACAGATTACCTATGTAACGGTGTACTTTCTTAGCTTTCTTTCTCTGGTTTTTCTCCCTGGGCCTAGCCACTTGAATGCTATACCAAAGTTTCCCTCCCCCAAAATACAAGCTCATCCTCAGCCTTTTGCTGATAAATCCAAACCTCAAAGCCCAGGATCCTTCCTCAACAAAGGCTTTCCCCCCTTTTGAGTCCAAAATTTGTAAAAAGTCTAATGAGTCTGAGAACCCTCCGGGTAACTCTTCAAGCCATTCTTGTGTGTTTCTCTTCTTCTTAGGTATGTGAGCTCCGTCGAATACGTCTTTGAATCTGTAGGGGAGATAATCCACCCAAAACCATTCACGACCTGTACCAACATCAATGGGTTCTGCCGCCCACGCTGCCTCCGCTTCTGCCAACTGTTTATTAGTCTGGTTCTGTTCCGCCGGGGTGAGAGTAGCGGCTCCCAATTCTTTGGCCCAGTCTACAGCTTCTAGTAAATGCACTTTCCATGGGTCCTCTTCCCCTATCTTATCTTGTGATTGCCCTCTGTTTAAATGGCGCCCTGGAGAGGTATCTTCTTTACTTGGTGAGCTCTCCGATTTTCCTGCCAAACTATAGAACAGAGTTTCCTCCAACCCTTCTAAGTGATCCCACTCAATTACTGTGATATTTTGGTCCTTAGGTCCAACTGTGTCTATTTGATCAAACAGGTCCCAGTCGACTACTTGGAAGGAGCAGTTTTGTCTGAGTGCCGGAGGCTCTTTATGCCAACCTGGTGAATCTGGTAGACAGATGGGTATGCAGACTCTTCTCCCTGCTGAATCCGGGAAACTCAGTACTTCTCCTTTTTGATGGGATAATTCTAACCTGATATTATGATCTGCTAAAAAAGGACGGCCCAACACTGTATGAACTGATCCTCTGACAACAAAAAAGTTTGCTAAGTGTATATAGCCTGGTAGCACGTTGACCGGAATATTCTCAGCTAATCCCACGATTGGGGTGACATGCCCTCCGATCCCTTTAAGCCTCATGAATATCTCTGTAGTTACTAGCCCAAGCTGGTCTGCTAATGTGTCAGGAATAATGTTCATTTCGGCGCCCGTGTCCACTAGAGTACGTATTTTCCTTTTGTTAATTGTCATATCCACCATTCCAACAGGACATGCATATGTAAGGCCTCGTTCTTCTTCATCCGCAGAGGTTCCTAGTCCGGTGGAGCAGTGTAGTTCTACGTTGTTGGCTTTCTTTTCTGACACATCATATTCTGGTTGTGACTCCTGTAGACCTTGGAGAAACTGTGGTGCGATTTTTACAATTTCTTCTAAAGTGAGTGTATAAGTTTGTTTGTAAAATTTGTTTCTAATAGATTTATCCAGAGGCTCCATTGAAGTTTCTTTTGCTCTGAATTCCTCTTTATTCTGTTTAGGTCTTTCACGGGATGGTTCGACAGGCTTTTGTTTACTACTCTCCTCTTCCTCCAGTTCTTCCTCCTCCAACCATGATCCAGGGAAGCTTTTTCTTCTAGTGGGAGGTTTAATGGCCTCTTGATTTGGTGGTGGAGTTTTGCTGACAGATTCCTGTGTTTTAACTGGCATGGGCTGACTGCTTGCTTGCGGATTCTTGTCTTGTATTCTTTGTGACTTTCTGAGTCCAAAACCAATATTGTTCTGAAGTTCTTCTTCACTGATATTAGCCTGCGGTGGAAGCCATGATCCCCATTCTTCTACTTCTATTACTGCTGACGTGGACTCTTGTACTGCAGTATTCTCGGTGCGGCTGTTGCTTTGCTCATCGTGGAACTTTTTGACCATCTCCTTTACGGAACAGTCCTTGTCTACCACAATTGGCTGTCTGTTTGGGTAGTAATACACGCCTTGATATCTGAACATCCGTCTATCCTGCATGTCTTGAGTATAGGCTTCGCATTGGGATAACATGTGTTTCTCTTTGCAATAAAAGCATTCCACCGCCGTAAAGCGTGGTCTAGTATCCCCAAAACCCGGTGAAGAAGGCCTATTCAAATGTGGGGGTGCCGCTCTTGCTTGATACTCCAGGGAATTGTTGAGCTTCTTTATTGTCTCCTTTAACTCTTCTGTTTCGGCAGGATCTTGTATTTTAACCTTCTTTTTGGTAGAGTCTGTTGAACTGGTTTGTGGCTCATCTTCGTCAAAATCAATAATGATGAGGGCTAATTCTACATATTCCTTGAGGATATCTAGTTCCGGGATTATATTCCTGCCGTCTTTAGTCTTTTTGAGCTTTTTGGCATGGGCTAGTTCCTTAGTCACTTCCTTCTTAAGTTCTGCGGACAAAGCACTCCAAAGGGGATTCCCGCTATCGGGGTTTAGGTGGCTGTAACCCATCCGTGTGAAATAGTCGGTCATTTCTTCCAGTTCTCCTACAAATTTCCTGTATTCCAGCCTGGTTTTTATGCCCTGACCTTCTTGAGCCTTCTGGACTAATCGAGGTATGGCATCTTCTCTATACTTTCTGAATGGTGTGGCTCGTCCCCACTTGCGGGTCAATTCTTTCTTCAATAGTTCCCAGTCTCCCGTTTCATGCCCCTCCATCTGTTCTATAGCCTCACTGATTTTCTTGTTGTTGATAATGAGGGGTAGTTGGAATGCTAGATCCACTGTTCCCGCATTCTGTATAAAAGCTACCTTTTCTACTCTTCTGATGAATACTTCTACTTCGGTCCCATCAAAATGAAGGTTTGTCTTTTTAGCATCTAACATCACTCCCTTTTGCTCATCTGGTAACTTTATCCTAGTCTTAGGTCTTCCTTGGCTGGATGGGGACGCCCCTTCCGAGTTTAAAAATGAATCGTCTCCGGCTCCAATAGTCGTATCCAATCCTTGTGTTCTGTCGTCAAAGGGTGTTGATGTAGCAAATCTTAGTCTTGATTCCCGTACTGGTGGTGTTTCCGGTATTGGCACTTGCTGCGGCGTATTCTGCTTAAGTAACAAGTTGACCGTGTCTTGTAGACCTTGCATCATTTCCTCCATTTTTGATATCTGAGCTTGCTGCTTCAAGATGATTGCTGATTGCTCCATACTGGATTCATCCGGGGTAGACATTCTTGACTCTAGCTTAAGTTCTGGGAAGAATTTCTTGAAAACTGCAGTTATTGCTTCCCTCTCTGTTGATCCCTGACCCTCCACTTTAATTTAGTCTTCTGTTGCTGAGGGAGATCTACTGTTGATCTTCTGAAGGTTAGTTTAGGCCACTGTTGGGACACCAGATGTGAGAACTCCTTTGGGAATGGTGGCAGTCCTGTGAGGGGGAAATAGCAGATGAGATATATCACGTATGTAATGATCTACTACAACTGTTACGGCTGGTTTGAAAGACCTGCCCCTCTATTGTACTACACTAGAGTTAACACAACAATTTATTTATTGTTGTGGCAAGAACTGATGATAGAGAAACTATGTGTAGCAGTCTCTTATCAAACCTAGATCAACGTGGATTCAGCAGACTATTCGAGTGGAAATGTTGAGTAAGAGATGTTTTTTTTGTTTATATGTTTATGTGTTTTGAAAAATGATTGACGTATGTACTGATGATGAATGTGAATCTATGAGATGATAGTGAGGAAAAATGTGACTATTGACCGTGTCTTTCCCTTCCTCCTTGAATCTTGGTCAAGAGCACAATGGTTTAAGATCACTGTCTCTTGTTTAAGATCACAAGTTGTACTGGTTACTACTTTCTTTCTCCTATGCTTCTCAATGTCTGAATGATCTCAATGGGGCACTTTGATTAAGATCACACTGGTTAATGTATAGATTGATTGCTCTGTTCTGTCTGGTTGATGATCAGATGAGATGATGAAAAATTGGAATGAGGGGGGGAAAGCCCCTCCTTAAATAGTCTATTTTACAACCCGGCTGACTTGTGGTTCTAGCCCTAACCTATAATCTATAAATGGCCAACTTGTGGTTCTAGCCCTAACCTATAACCTATAATTTATAAATGGCCAGCTTGTGGTTCTAACCCTAACCTATAACAAATATGCATAAAATCCGGCCAAATTGTGGTTTTGCTATCTATACAAGATTCTCTGTGTACCTACATAACAATGTGGCCAACCTGTGGTTACCCTATGCAATGAATATTGAATATGTAAACAAACTAAGGCCAACTTGTGGTTTGCATTATGCAATAAGCATTTTTTATGCAAATAAAACTTAAATCCCAAATAACTTTTGACTGAGTGGAGCTAGACTATTGGTTCCAGTGAGTGACTATGGGTTAAATGACCCGTAGAATGTGATTATGCCATAATACGCCTAAGAATATATGCCTTTCTACATATTGGACTGTGACTTTATGCAATTTGATACTTGAAACACAATTGGCATACTACACCGACCATCGCGGATCCACAAGCAGATACCAGAGTCATGGTCCAGAACTACCCTCAAGAATCGAAGGGCCCCACGACCGCTCCGACCCAACCGTCAGACTCGATGGACATAGACCATCCGGAGGATCAAGACCCGAACGAAGGAGCGGATCCTTCGATGGATATAGAACCAACGAGTCAGTCGATTCTTCTGATGACTCCCTTGAAGTTTTTAACCAGACGCTGACGGCAGATAAATTCAGAATTGAATGCGGTCGAAGACCAAGCCTGCAGGATCTACCGACAACAGTACCACATGTACGAGACAGCGAAAAAAGCGAACCAGCACGCGGACGCCACACGAGCGCTGACCGAGTGCCAACGCTCGTACCGCAACATCTCGAAGAAACTCACTTGGCAGTTCGCCCTCTCCATCAACAACGGGTGGAACCCGTTCAAAGAGGCGAAATCGGCCAAGCTCCTAGCGAAACTAGAAGGCCGCTCGCAACCGACGGCCAGCGGATCTCGACCCTCCGGGAGCTACACCTCCTCCAGCAACCAACGCGGGAAGCGACCAGCCGAAACGCAACTCAACCAGCTCGGAAAAATAGCGAAGCTCGACACATCGTGGCGAGAGACGATGGCGGCAGCCAGAGCGTTACAGCAAGCCCGAGCCCAAGTGCTAGAAGAATTACGCAAGGAGGAAGAAGCCTCCAAGCGCCGCAAGAAAGAGTAGATTTCGATGTTGTACATACTACTTTAGTTTCTCTTCATGACACTCTCCTTACCGAAATACACTCTCGTTTTCTTGACTTTGATGAAAAATTAGCCATTATCCATTCTAGTAATGATCTAATGTCTGAATTCAGATCATTATCAGCTTCTACTGAGAAAAGCCTAAGCAATTCTATGGCTACAGCTAACTCACTATCAATCTTTTCTGAAATTTTAAGATCCAATTTTTCTGTGACAGAAGAAAACAAGAAAATTCTTGACAATAATTCATACAAACTTGACAATAATTTTGCCAAATCATTTGACAAATTTGAAGTATTAGAGAATCTCACAGGAACCATTCTAGATAAAATAAGAGAACTTGAGATTAATGCCAAGAAACCATTGGAGGACAAACAAGAAGAACCTTCACTTGAGATTCAAGACAAATATGACTCAATTATTTCTGACATTGATGAAAATCACAAGTTGTTATTGTCCATCTTTCAGCAAATGGAACAACACACTGACATGTTGAAATCTCAACACCAAGATAATCAAAATTCCCTTGCAAAACATCAACAAGTAGTTGACAATAAAATTAAGGAATTGAACAACTCCTTTCTCATCCAATATAGTACAATTAATAATAAATTAGATACATTACTGAATAATGAAAAAATCTATCCTCCCTCGAACACGGAGGCTCCTACGAGGTCAACAAGTCTCTCACCACAATTGATCCCTCATCCAAATCTTGGATCCCCAAGACCACCAGTGGAACATACTACTGGAAGCACCCAATCTGATATGTCCAAAGAAGCGCCTAAAGTCAAAGATTGGCCAAGATTCAGTGGTGAAGGAGAATATAACCACGTAGAAT